GTGCCAATTTGTTGTGATGGCTTTGAATTTTATAATAAATTTGTTTATAAATTTTTTGTTTAATATAACATTAAATAAATTTATTCATTTTAAGATAAATAATATCAAATATTTTTATTTTAAATAAAATTTATATTTATAAAAATAATATTTGAAAATAATTACAATATGTATATATTTAAAATAAATTAAACATTGATTTTAAAAAAAATCAGTTTCTCCTAATTTTTAATCTATAAAATTGATTTCTTTTGGTATTTAAAAATTATGACAATCTTGAAGTTAATAGTTAGTTCATCTACTGAAAATCAGAACTCTTATCAATTCTTTTCCTGAAAATTCTTGACTGATTTACTAAAAATAGTGATTGTTTTTTGAACTGAATTATAAATGTGAACGAAGAAAAACTATAATCACACCCATTTCAACCAACTCTCTTTTCTTAGTCTTTAATTTTTTATTAATTTCATTTAGAAAATAATACCCAATGCAATTAATATTGTCATTATAATTTGAGAAACATATTTAGATTTTTTTTTTTTGATTTTGGGTTTGGGGTTGGTGTATTTTTTTAAAATTAAATCCAATTACAATTCAAAAGTAAAAGTGTGGGTATATGTTTAAATTTTAAATCTAAAAATTGATGCTAGTTAAATAAAAATTTAGGAACGATACGAATGATTTAATTATCAATTTCAAATGAGTATAAAATGATTAATGTTGAGAAAGTAAAATATTTTATTATTTTATTAATTATAAATGAAATAATTAATAATTTTAATAAATTCATTCTTTTTTGATGGTTGAGATAGAGTAATTACTCCTAAAAAACAAACTATGTATTTAATCTGTTTAGGCTTCTAGAAATTCTGTAGATGCTTCAATTAAGAATTAAGCAATATGATTAGGAGTGCTAATATCATCTAATTAGTATTAGAGTTTGAGAACATTAAAAGTTTTAGTTCTTAATTGTTGATTTTCATTGAAAATTTTATTTATGGTCATACAAATAATCATTTAAAGTCTTAATCTTGCAAAAAATTTAAGATCTTGAGATTCTCTTTCGTCTTCGATCATTTATTCTAATTCATAGTAACAAAATTGGAGACATTGTCTATAAGGAATTCGAAATTATTCAAATTAATCAAATTCAGAAGTCTATTAATATGAAAAGAAGTGATACATCTTAAAAAAATCTATGTAACTCTAATTCTCTGAATAATTAGGATTCAAAAATAGATAAGCCTAATTAATTTGATTAAAATTAGATTTTAATTTTATTAAGCTATTGAATATCAGTCTATAATGTATAATTAATTTCATTTAAATGTTATTTTAATTATTTAGAATTTGCTAGAAATTGATCCCATTAAGCTTGTTATACGTGAAAAATATTGATGGATTATTAGATTTCTTTTAGGAATTATTTTTTAATAATAATAAGCATAGTTTAAAGAGCAAATTATCCCCATATAATAAATGGCATTTGAAACATCATTTTCATACATTTAATAGTATTTTCCATAATGTAAAATCGAAAATAATGGAAATGCATTTCTTTCCAAATAACTGGATATAGAACTTTTTCCTATGAATATAGATAGATGTAATACCAATTCAGATTTATTGTAGAATAACATAAAATTAGGATCAGGATCAGGCTCAAATTGAATAAGAGTATTGTTAGGCATAGAATTGAAATTTTTAACAAGTGATATACTAGATTTACCATTAAATTCTTTAACCTATATAAATGATTTGATATAATACTATAGCCCATTCAACATTAAATTCTTCACGCTCTCTAATTAGATTAAGTGTTTTAAATAGATGAAATTAAGACTTATAGTATTATCTTATCTAATTATTTTCATTTACACATTTATAAATACTGTGTAGTTCTCCAAACCTTAATCTATTACTATCTTAAGGATTTAACATTTTAAGTAGAATAGAGACTAGAGATTTAGGTAGTTTTTTCTTATCAATTCTTTTATAAAATTAATTATATTCTTCATATGAATTAAAGTTCTAAAGAATTTCTTTAGTAGATAATTAATAAATTATACAACCAAGTAACCACATATCTATTCCTAAAGAATATGTTTTATATTTTAAAAATTCAGGAGGCTTAAGCTATAGGTCACTGTAATAACCAAAATTAGATAAGGTAATTTTGATTCTGTCATAATAAATGTTATAAATAGAAAAACATCTTCCAAGTACTCCTTATTTATGAATTTCATAAAGAGCGAGTATCAATTAATTAAATAAGGATGTGATTTCTTCTTCTGATAATATAATCTTTTATAGAATGAAATATTCAAGAGTTGTACCCTTTGGTTTCAAAAATTAATAAATTTGATCTTCTTCTTTTAAACAAGGTCCTCTAAGATATTCTCCAGTAATGTTCTTTTCCTTTTGAAAGAATTAGTATAATTGTTCATAGATGACTCTTACTACAAGTTTTTGATTACCATTTATTTGTTATTCTGTTAGGAGGGCCTATGTTCTAAAATTACATTCAAGTTCTTCTAGCATTACCTTAATTATTATAATAACATAATCCAAAATAACAATCACGAATTTAAACACAATCTCTATACTTAATCATAAGGTCATATCATTTATAAGCAATCATAACTTGACTATTTCTAATACGGGATGTTAATTGTTATTTTTGATATAAAACCAATATTCAAATAATTGTTATCAGTATCAATCTATATTTAATTATTCTCTCTAGCATCTTCATTTATACTTTAACTAAATACTCTATAATTACAGTTAAATATGCAATAGAAAATGAACTAATATATATAAAGACACATAATTGAATTACAAAAGAATCTACATATTCAAATTGATCATCCCATCAAATTGAATCGCAAATACGAAATCAATATTAGAAGATTTAAATAATATTCAATCAAAAATATAATATCTATTTATGTTATATAAAATTAATTAATTTTTTATTATTCGTTAATGTAAAAACAACAACCTCTTAAAGTATTAACTCCATCTACAAATTATATTACTAGAACTCCTGAAAAAGCAATTAATACATCTCCATTTAGAGGATGTAGTGTATAAATAATTATTTTACATTTTATTAGTTTAGTGACAAACAATCAATAACACCAATCAAATAAAATATGGGATACCCTTAAGTTTAATAAACTATAAACTAAAATTTTTAACCTTAAATTCCTTATTATGATAATACTATTATTTATTAGTATCCAGAAACAAGAGAACAATTATTATAAAGAATTTACAATATGGAAGACAATTATAGAGTATTTAATTCTTAATATGAACAAATAAAAGAAGAATTAGAAAAAGAAAGAAATAGAAGAAGTGATACTGATAGAACCTACTCTTAATTATGTTCAAAATAATAAGAGTAAATATTGTTATTATATACAGTTAGGAAAAAGAACTATAAAAGTAACATTAAATAGCTAAATAATTTGAAAGTTTGTATAAATAGGCTTAAAGAGAAATCCATGAAAATAAAACTGTCTAAGAGAAATTTTAAAAAATGTTGAAATAAAAAGAAAAAGAAATCAATGAATTCAAATTAAAGCTGATTGAAGAAAAAGATTTAAGAGCTAAGGAAAATGATAGATTAGTTTAAGAATTCACTTAAACTTATAGGGAATTAAGTTTATAGAATGATTAATTAATTTAGGAAAATAATCAATTGAAGACAGTAATCTTAGAATTTGATAATTAAGCATACTCTCTATCTTCAAAAAAATAATCAGAATAGAATTTCTAAACTAATACTGATTTTTTAGATGATCCATAATTAAGATAAATTATTAAATAATATCTTACAAATGATGATGAATATTATTTAAATTAGATACCAGAGAAATAACTTAGAACATCAATTATGATTATAAAGGAGATATTTGAATCAATAGCATCTAAAAGACTGAAAGAAATAAAATCATAATAATTCTAAGAACCTAAGTAACTTAATGAAGAAATTGAAATAAATCTACAGGAAGTCAGAAAAAAGAGAGAATTACTTATTAAAGAGATAAAAAATAAAATGGAAAAGATTGTAAAATAAAAAGTAATGATTTTTTATTAATAATAAGGAATTCAATCTAATGGAATTCAATGAACTACAAAGAGAGATTGATGATTTGAAAAAGGAAGTGAGTAGTATCGATAATCTAATATTATAAATGGAATAATCACTAATTTTAAATCCACATCGAAATAGTTGTGTCTCATTTGATAATGAAGAATTCTAATGATATACTTTAATAATTCTATCTATTATTATAATTTAATAAATATTTAAGAATATTTAAATATAATAAAAATGAATCAACATAAGCTTATATTTAATCAGGGAAGGTTATTGAATGGAAAAATACAACAGATGAAAGAATGGTAATAAATTGATATTACATAAAAAGGAATGAAAATGTAAAAGAATGAACAACAAATATAATTACTACATTTAGGCATTTTTGAATTTATGTAAACAAGATAATGTTTTATAAGTTCTAGAGTATGAATTATATTTTTAGAAAGTCATTTATTGCTATATGATAAATTAATTTAAATATATATTCCAATTAATAAAAAGCTGTATTTTTAAATTAAGATTTTAAATACAATCACTCCATATGAATCCTTCAAAAGTTTTATAGATTTAAGTAATATAATTGTATTATGTTTATTGTAAGAGATTATAATCAAGAAGGGGTTAATTTTAAAGTAATGATAGATTATTTTTTGTAAGAATAGGCTTTCAATATAGGAATGTAAGAATAATTCCTAGAATTAGTAGTAAAACTGTAATGAAATCAAAAAAATTAGATTTAGGAGATAACAAAGAAGATTATATAATTTTATGCACTAAAACAGAATTGGAGTTTATTGAAAATTTAGAAAATATAAACCTTTTGTATTTATTTGTTTATTTTAGAATTCAAGAGCTTCTTGAAAGAATCATTTATTATAAAAAAATAAAGAAACAAGATTACTTAAAAATAAAAATATGTGTTTGGATATCATATTAGATGTTTGTAATTAATATTATTAAAATAAACAACTTGATCATTATTTTCTTAATAAATTTGAGGTTAGACTTAATATAATAATTATAATTCCAATCCAACTAAAGATTTCAATTTCTTATTTTAATATTAGTATATCTAATAATAAATTAAATATAATTTATGATTCTCCAATTAATGATTATTATGTAACATTTCCAATCATGACAGATCTATTCATAGATAATTATCCTAAACAACCTAAGGTTCCATTAAGTAATAATAAAAGAGCTTCTTTAAATGTTACAGCTTTAAATGGTTCTATTGAAAAGTAAAATTAAAATATAATTGAAGTGATAATTCCAAAAAGTGAATAATATTATAAAATAGCTAAACAACTGACTTCTTTAGAGAGTGTACTAATCAATACTTAAACAAATGAGGTAGCAATAGCAGTAAGAAGAGCTAAACATAATCCAAAAAAGTTTAGGTATGTAAATTCATCGTTATTTTAATCAAATAAAATAGGGGGTTTGGTCAGTAAAATTATGCCTAATAAACAAAAAACGATTTCTAGTATTGTTCTCTTTGTAATTGTTTCTTTTTTAAGGATGTAGGCTAATATAAAAGTTGTCCATAACGGGTTAGTTTTAATTAATACTACTGCCTCTGATATAGCAACAAGTTTGAATGATAAAAGACAACACATTAATCCAAGACTTCCTATAAATCCTCTAGCAATTAGTTTTCTAATTATCCTACTTTAACAAGGATATGTATTATTAGATATGAAACTTTATAACATTTGAACAACAATCAAAGCCAAAACAGATCTCCAGTATATAATTTATGTAGCTGGTATTCCTTCAAGATATTTTACACTGAAAGAGCTAAATGCAAAACATAAACTTGAAAGAATTGTATATACTGATGGCGTAATAAGTGGAAACTGCATTTCTAATTTGTATCCAAATTTCATCATTAAACAAAATTATTATTACAATTGTTTATAAATTAATATCGTTATATATTAATAAAATATAAGAGTTTAGACTTTCTAATTATCAGATGAATCTTATTAGAGTATATCATAAATAATTTAATTTAAACTCCAAAGTCTCAAGTTTTCATTTTTTTTTTTTTAGATTAATTTGGAGATAATTTTAAATTTTGCTGGTAACGATATTTTTGTAAAAATTTTATTCATCATATTTTATTGATAATTATTATTAATTATATTATTGTTCATAATTAACTATACCAATGAATTCTATAGTTTATGTGTTAATAAATGGAGCTTCTTATAATTTCAAAGAAAAATTAATATTTTATTTCGATTATTGAAAGTACATCTTTGTAAAGTAAATTATTAACCACCTAGTTATTATTAGATTTTCTGTTTTAGATAGTCATCAAAGCTATTGGCATAGTAAAATAACAATTTATAAAGTACTAAATAAGTGAACTATATTTGATTAAAATATAAATCTTGAAATACAGATTGCTGTTGTTCAACTACATAAATTAGACATATTTTTATGAAAGTTAACCCTAAGAAATAAGTTTTGAATAAATATTAGTGTTTATGAAATAATAGTATGGTCATATTTTAAATTCTTAATAGAAGTAGATAATATCAAATTGCTATAAACGCATGTATATTTTATAGAGTTTATGAATGGGTTTCTGGTTTTGGAAAGTAAATTATTTAAATCAGTATTATAATTACACTTTTTAGTTATATTGTATTCTTTGAAAATAAGGAATATAAATTGATGTGTAGCTAATATGATAGTTGATTTGATTGTTAATAGATTATAAGATGTTATGAGTTTTATTCAAAGTGATATGCATATTGAGTATATTAAAATATAAAATTAGACACATATATAATTGTAAATGTTAATCAGTTTTTCTACATAATATTTGATGTAAGACTAGCAGCAATGATGGCCATTCCAATCCAACTAAAGAAACCAATAGTCTACTATAAGATAAGTAAATCTAATAGTATATTAAAGACAATTTATGTTTCACTAATAAGAGCCATTTATGTTATTTTACCTAACATCATGGCTCTATTCATAAACATAGATCCTAAGCAACCAAGAAACCCACTAAACAAAAGTATGATAGTCTCCATCAATTATAGAAACCTCATGTCTTCGAAAGGGGAATACAATTGAAAGATTACTGCACCAGATACTGCGAATAATGAAAAGTATTGTAATATCACAAATGAATGAACTTGATTATTTAATGATTTAATAATCACTTATGCTATTGCTGTCTCTAATCCTGTTACTAATGCCAAACATAGTCCTATCAAGTATATTAATGAATATTCTTAATTCTCATTCCCAAATATTATTGGAGGCTTTGTTATAAATATTACACCTATTATACAACTTATAATCTCTATTCCTGTTCTCATATTTATCTTCTCCTTCTTTTATATATATACTTATATTAAAGTAGTCCATATTGGATTTGTCTTCATTAATACTACTGCTTCTGATACTGCTACCAATTTTAATGAACTGAAACAAGCCAAAAAACCAAACATTCCTATTGCTCCTCTTAATAATAATTTATTCATTATCTTCTTTTATGGATATGATTATAATGGTAATATTTCATTCATCATTCTAATTATTATAAATGTTAAAGCACATCTCCAAATTATTATTTATGTCACTGGAATCCCATCAAATAATTTCACACTAAAATGATTTAATGCGAAGAAAAAACTACTCAAAATCTAGTATATCATTGGAACCAAACTTTTATGTTCTTATTCAAATTATTAAACCTATTTAATCATATAATTTGCCATACTCTAAATTTTAATTATTATAAAACTTATTAACCTTTTTTTTTCATTTTTCTATATTCATTTATATTCAATTCTCTCTAATTATCAATCCAATCTATTACTAATCATTTTATATTTTTTATTAAATTTCAATTATATGTCCATTTTTATTCCATTTCTCCTAATCTAATGAGTATTTATTATGTGATTTTACAAAATACAAAATTTATATCTACATTAAGTTAATTAAAGATATATCTATATATTTCATATTATTTAAATTATACAAAATTCTAGGAAGATCTAATTTTATTTTTCATATATATTATTAATTGCTGATGGGAAATAGTTCTAAACATTAAAATCAATAGGGGAATCAAGGTTAATTATAAATGAAACAATCAAATAAACCAGAAGATGAATTGATTAAATATCTAGCTCAAAGTATGTTAAAATATAAGTTTAGGTTGTTCAACATTCCCATCATAAATAGAGTAAAATTCAGAGTTTAAAGCATAAAGAATAAATTGTATAAGATGTTCATATATTTTGTTTGATGATGGATTGGGAAGAATAAATAAATGTGAAGAATGTGAAATTCCTTATGTAATAAAGAATGGATTGATGAGTGTTTTGAATCAGAGCCAGGATGTTCAATGTTGTTCATTTAGTTTTCCTCTATAATATTTAGATTCTGTTGTGTTGCGTGTGAATCAGTATTTGAGATTATGAATATTTATAGGAGCTGTATTAATCATATTTCTTATGGCCAATTGATGACTCAAATAATATTACCATTTTTTTAGATTAGAGAAAGAGTAATAACATCAGGAGCATGTTTCAATATTGATTAGTTTGAATTTAGAGTTGTTGGATGTGGATCATAACTCTAAGGAATTGTAGGTAGTAATACTAAAATTTATTGTTATGAATCATATACTGATAGAATCTTGTATAAATTGAAAATCTATACATAAAGAAAAAACTTTGAAGATGAACTTTTTCATTACTTTTTTTCTCATCCAAAAGATAATCAACTCATTTAGGGTAAGAAATTAAAATTATAATATAGATTCATATATAAAAATAAATAACTAAGAATATTTTGTATTGTAATGCACAGAATAATCAGGTAGATTACATGCTTATACTAAAATTGAATATATATCAAAGGTACCTAGATTAACTTAGGTTTAATTCATTATTTTGAAGTAACCAATAGAATTCTCTCGTGTTAATAACAACAAAGCAATTTAGTAAGTACTAAAATATGTAATTGAACCATATTTTGGAGGATTGACTCGATATTTGGAAAAAGGATAGATTTTAAGAATAGGTGATTTCATATTTGAAATCTGTTTAGATGAAGAATTTGGATTTGTTATTCCCAATTAGACACATATTTAAATAACAGATTAGATTGACTAAAGAATGAATCTGTAATAACTCTAACCCAACTCAAATTACAATATTATAAGCAGATCTATTAATAATGAAAATAATAGTCGATAGGATCAAATTGAATCTCTGCACAGATTATTGAATACTTTCATATAACTTAATGAAAATGGCACAATTGAAGGTAATATAGGATGTGAGGATCATGAAATATAATAATTGCCAGTAAGAAAGATTAATTTAGAATAAATTAAATAATTGGATGAGGATCATATGAAATGTTTAATATGTCTCTGTGAGTATGAAGAAGATGATTTAGTTAAAACTATTCCTTGCTGTATTATATATCAATATAAAATAGTACATTATTTTCATGATGATTGTATAGAGAAATGGCTAAAGAAAAGTAGACATTGTCCAATATGTAAAAATGAATTAGAAATTTGAATATTTTTTACTTAATTATAGTTAAATGAATGGATTAGAATTGTTTCATAAAATTGATATGAGATAATAAATTGAGATAATGAATTTCTTTAAATTTATTTATCTTTTAATATATGGGGAAACATAGAAATAAAAATTAGAGTAAATATGAAAATGCTCCATAGAAGAAAGTGAAGACAAATCATTGGGATTAAGACAATCAATAAATATGTGTAGTATAATTTGAGAATCCAATATTTCGTCGTTTTTATGAGGTATGATGATATATAATATATATATTAGATTTAATTACCTGAGATAAATAAAGAAGAATTCAAGATATTTTGGTAATCATTATCTCTTCCATTACCAGTGACATTTCGAATAAATTAATCATAATATAAATATGAGAGTTTAATAGAAAGATTGAAAGATGGTTCATTAATAAAAGATATGGTGAATGAAGAAGAAATAGTTGATCCAATAAGAGAGATTACATGGTATCCAAATAATTTGGTTTGGGAATCAAAGGTAGCTAAGAAAAGTTTAAGAAAATCAGCAGCTTTAACAAAATTACATTAATTCATATAAAAATGTAATTCAACAGGATTATTGACAAGATAAGAGTTAGTATCAATGCTTCCTCCATTATTATTAAATCCTTAAGATACAGATTTTGTATTAGATATGTGTGCAGCACCAGGATCAAAAACATGTTAATTATTAGAAGTAGTAACAAAAGGTTTAATAGTTGCAAATGATGTTGATCCAAAAAGAGCATATATGTTATCACATTAATTATCACGTATGCCAACTGCATAAGTTATGATTACTAATTATGCAGCATAATTTTATCCATCTTTATATATTAATGGATAGAGATTATAATTTGATAAAGTATTGTGTGATGTTCCATGTACAGGAGATGGTGCTGCACGTAAATTACCTACTAGATGGGTTAAATGGTCAGCAAGAGATGGAAATGTTATACATCCATTATAATTAAGTATTTTAATGAGATCACTTTAATTATGTAAAATTGGAGGATATGTTATGTATAGTACTTGTTCACTTAATCCTATTGAAAATGAAGCTGTTGTTTCAGAAGTATTTAGGAGAGCTGGATTCGATGCTTTTGAATTAGTTGATTTACATACATTATAAGGATTTTAAACTAGAAAAGGAATTAAAAATTGGAAAGTTATTTTAACTGATGATTTTCTTACTTAAAAATATCTATAAAGATAATCTAATACTGATTAAGATGAAAAAGATTTCTTAGAAACTGTCTAAGAAGATGATTTAGTTTATGAAATTCATAATATTAATTAGAAACTTAATATTAAAAAACTCTTCTCTAAATTCTCAAGAAAATAGGAAGGACAAATGATCAATGCATTTAAAACTTTAAAACCATCATTATTTGCAGATACTGAAGATTTTATGAATTAAATTGCCATCGAAAAAACTATGAGAGTATTACCTCATGATCAAGATACTGGGGGTTTCTATTTGGCATTATTTAAGAAAAAGTAAGCAGTTATTTGGAGAAAACCTCAGTATTAAGAATCTATTATATCTTAATAATTTATTTAAGAAAATAAATCAGAATCTATTTAAGTAGAATAACCAATTATTATTGATAAACCATAAGAAATAGAATAAATTTAATAGAATGAAACATCTTAATAATAAATTTAAGATGTTTAAAAGAAAGACACTATAGAATAATAAGATATTCAATAAGATTAATAAGATATTTAACAAGAATAATTAATTTAAGATTGTGATATTAATCAAGATCATCTTAAAGATATTTTAAAATAAAGTAATGATCAAGATGATAAATAATAAAATGATAAAAATAAAACATAACTTCTTGAACCATATACTCCAATCAATGATTATGATTGGAAAATCATTTGTGATTATTATGGTATTACTGGATTTCCATAAGCATAAGTTTTAGGTACTGGATAATCTCTAGATATTATTATGCAAGTTAATAAAAAATTTAGATATGTTAGTGAAGATGTAAAAAATATATTATTTGATCCCAAAAATTGTAATTATCAAAATTAATTTATTTTTAGAAAATCTAAAACTTATAAATATTGGCTAAAAATTGTTCGAAAGAGGAAAAGAAAGCTTTGGTGGATAGGTTACTCCATTTAAAATAACTCAAGAAGGATTACCTTATATTTTTAAATATTTAACTAAAAGAATTGTTGAATGTAATAAGGAATAATTTATGGAAATTCTATAAAAAAGAAATATTAGAATGGGAGATTTTGCTCATGAAGAATTAAAGAAACAATTTGAGCAATTAATTTAGGGATGTTTTGTACTTTACTATAAGGAGACTCCAGAAATAAGTGAAGCTGTAGTATGCTAATATTACAAATAAAGTGTTAATTTAATGTGTAGCACTGAAAATATAGAAAACATTCTTATTAGACATAGATTAATGTGATTTATATTATAAAATATATAAAATATTTATTTATTAATCTTGATTCAGAGAATTCAAAAAGGATTAGCTGGTTTAGCCAAAGGATCATTCAACAAATTGTTGGATTGAATCACTGGATGATAAGATTCACTTTCATTGAGGTTCTTTTTCCTATATATTAATTACTCAAAGTTATCCTTTTTGAACCTCTTAGAATAAATTTTATTCCTTGAATCAAATATTCATTAGATTCATTTTTCTTGCTATATTATTAAATTAATAATCATTCTACTTTCATAAATAATAAGAGTATTGAAAAACTTTTTAAAATTTTAGTATTTTTTTACAATTTCCTACCTTTTAACAGATCTTAACCTGGATAATCTTCTTGTAATTGAAATTGCAAACACTTTCAAATAGGACAAAAACTAATATGAAAAATTATCTAGAGTTTATCAAATAAGAGGCATAATTATTTTACGAATTCATAAGAAAAATATATAAGTAAGAAATATACTAAAATTCATAAATGTATTTCGTATGAACCTTAATGTTTGCGAGCTCTTAAGTAATTCTTAAGTTTCTCACAATGAATATCTTCCTAACTAATCTTCCTCAGTAATTTCAGCTCTTGTTCATATAGAGTGTTCTTATTCTTTAAAATACCTTTCTTAACATTTTATTGACTAGTTTATGATAACTCTGAAGTAAGTTTATTGGTCTGTTCAATCTGATTTGATTAAGTTGAACTCTTAAACTGAAGCTCCAAAGCTGAAATAAAATTGCATGAAAGCATGCTCATTTAATCACTAATAGCTTATTCTTCAGCTACTTCTATATCACTCTATGAAATAGAAGCTAAATTCTGCTGCTTTGATAAACAAATGGATCCCATTGTATTATTATTTTAAATCTTGTTGAAACCAAATATATTTAATAACTTTTCCATCTTTTGTATTTAATGAGACAGAAAATTTATTTTCTTGACTTTCAATTCATTCGATAAACATATTACATAGATAAAAAACATAATACCTCATCATTTAATTTTTTAGTTTTGCTATTCAAAAAGAATCTTTACAAAATTACATATTATAAACTATAAATTACTCTCAATTAATATATCCTACTTTATAATAGAGTATTTAATGAACTTGGGAACTTTATTTTTTAATTTTGTTATAGAATTCATATTTTCATTAGAAATTAATTACAATTAAATTCAACAATATTACTTATTGTTTTATAGTAGCAACTATACTATATTTGAAATACTGAATTGTGATAACTGGTTTTATTGATTTTAGATATCTTGATACTAATGTTTAAAATATGATAAGAATTAGTAAATAATAATGATAGCAAAATTCGAATAAGAATATTGGATTAGATGATTGTAAACTATCTAAGCTACTTTAAATATTAGAGTGATTAGATTATCTAATGATTCTTATTGATTATTTTTACTGAATGTTAATTTAACTATTAATACTAAATATTAATCAGATGATAAATTCAATATAATATTAAGAATATGAAAACAAAACATTTCAATATAAAGTGAAATTAACAACTTTGACATTTCTATTCAACTTCATTCCACATAGAAGTATTCAATGAATCAATTAAGCAATTATACTTATTTAACTTAGTCAAGTTAAATCCTTGAATACATGATCCTTGCTCCCAAATACAAGGTTTAGCTCGTTTTAAATCATCAGTTAGTATGCTTTTGCAATCAGTTTCAGAAGTATAATCAGAACATTCTCTTTCCAAACAAGTGATGTTATCAGAAATCCATTTGCAATAGGCAGTCCTTTGATTACATTTTTCTTAGAAACCTGAGAGATCTACACAATCTTTACTTTCTTCTCCAATACAATACTAATATTATTAACATAAATTGAGATCATCTGTTTCATTCTAACATTTTGAGAATGTTCTCCAAGTGCATACAGCAGATTCAAAATTATTACAAAGTTCTTAACTGTTTAGAGTAAAACAAGTCATGAAACTTCCTCCCGATTTTGAAAGATCATTGATACAATTGTATTTTCCATTACTTTATTACTCCTCATCATAAGTACAGAATTTAGTCTATGTGCTTTTCCTAAAACAATCTTCTTTTTTGTCAACCTAATAGGACCCACATCCAGAAAACACTTCACAATCACCATTGTTATTCCAAACACATTCACCAGTATTATCACATATTTCTTGAGTCTTAATATCAGAACAAAATAAGGCTGAACATTTGAAATCTGGAACAGCTAAGGCTAATGCAGTTTTATTTTTTAATGAATTTTTAGCAAGATTGATTGTTTATTGTGATTAGTAAAATGATTAAATTTTACAATTAAATCTTAAACAATCATCTTTAGTAATCATTTATCCACATGAACATTATATAGTTGAGAGTTATATGAAATCTCCTGCATAGATTGTAATTGTTATTAGATTAATAATTATAAATTATATCATTATTATTATATTTATATTTCATTTCCATTTTTAAGTTGGTTATTGATAACCTTTTCTTAAATTCTCTCTACATAGAGTTTCATATCAAATTTGTTTTTTATTCCAAAAGTTCCCATTCCCAAATTCAAAAAGAATTCTCCCCAATTCTCCATAAATTTTATCATTTCACTTTCTAAATATTAAGCTCTCTATCCTGGATCTAATTATAATTGTTCTTAATTCTCCTTGCTTAAAAATACATTCAATAGTTCTCCTGAAAAGAAATAATCTAATCTTTCCACCAAGACATTTGCTGTTTGTTGAATATCCTATTCTTCCTTATCTTTTTGACCACTCTCAATGAGAGTTTACAATACCTGAATCAAAGCAGCCTCATTACCTTAGAAGAACTCTTCAGTCAAATAAGTAATATGGTTATGGCAATTCAACTTAATGAATCCCTTCTCAACCAAACTTGTAGTATCCAAATATATTATTCTAAAAGATTATACAATGTGTTCATAAACAATAACATCTTTAAATGGTTTAGGTGGTCTAGAATCATCAAAACCACCTTGTCTTGGAGGTAATTCAATCACATTGCCTTGTGAAATACCTAAACATTAATCTTAAGCTGCTTTATTTTCATTCTTTGTTACTTCAACAAACATGGGATCCTAAGATTTTCTAGGTCCTCCTCTTGGTCCTCCTCCACCACCACCTCCTTGTTTATTCTCTTCTTATTTGGTGTCATAAATCTTGACTATTATCTCACCTGCACCTCCAGGATAATCACGATAATCATTTTGATTCAAATCCCAAGGTGGCCTATAAACATTTCTTTTGAATAAATTTGTCGATTCTGGGTCCGTCTTTGGTCTTTAGAATTTAAAGCAATTTATGTTCCCCTCAGGATTTGTGAAACCTTAAATTTTACACTTACTTTTAAAAGTCTTCTTCCCTGGTAATGTATATCCATCAACTATGACTCTTATCCCATAGACACCCTTGTCTTTGCATTCTACATTTAAAATGAAATGCTAATCCACTTCCCCTATGACGCAGATCCCTTCAGGTGTCATTATGTGCTTGTATTCTAATGGTTTTCCTTTACATTGTCTAAAAGGATCAACCAAAGTCAGTTCAAATGTCCCATCATTTGAGAGTACCATTTTAAATAATGAAATTTATGTCCAATTTGATCAAGGTTATGTATAGGATCAATCTCTAATACTTCATAAAAAGCGAACTAAAATTAAGTTCTAACTTCATTTCTTTCTTCAATTTATTTATCATCTTATAAAAGAAATAATAAAATGCATTAACATATCACATCATAAACACTGAAAAAGCAACTGGAAAATAAGGAATAATTAATGCATACACTCAAACATCTCGAGAATAGAGTTACTCATGATATTGTACCTGTTTTAATTGATATCCTAAAAACAATAGATTAAGCCATCCGATTGGTTGCCAAACTTATTCAACTATAACCTAAGGAATTCAATTCATTAGCATTACAAGTAGCCATTTAAAGATGCCTAACTCAACCAATCAATATTACTTTGTTGAAAGCGATTGGAGCATTACTTTAAGAATTCAAAATAGATACACCAGATCAATTCATCAGATTAGTCTTTAGATGTTGCTTTACAGGTGTTCCCTAATTTGGAAATCTACAACCAGAACATGTTATTACTGATCTTTCTAGTGATTCTGAAGGCTAGAGTGATGCAGCTCAAAAAGCAAATTCCAAAATAAGATCAACAAGTGTACTTGTCTTAAAAACACTTATCAAAGAATTCCCATTGTATTTTTAAAGCAATTGGCAACTATTCTTACAAAAATTACTCTAGCTTCTTCAATATGAACCTAGAAAAAATACTAAAATCAATTTAGTCTAATTAATAATTGTTCTATTGGATACCCTTAATGTCTCAAAATGGATATAAGGTATTGAAATTGTTAAACATCAACATGGATTTTAACCTAAAGCATATGTTTTATTTTAAGGTGTTAAATAAATTCATGAAACAGTACTTGCCCTCTTATCTGGATGGAAATAGAATGATACCTAATTCAATATTCAATTATGTAAATTAGAAGTCTACTTAATGCAGGAATGTCGAATTCTTAACAAATTATCAGATTAGGAAGGAGCCATACCTTTGTATTAAATTTCATTATAGTTAATAAATGATACAACTGCGAAAACCTCTGCTATGTAGATATTGAATTATTTAGTATATGAGGGAATCAAGACAATAGATGTAAGATTTTTGATTAAGCTATGTTTATAAGGAATCAAAGATAGGAATGAAAATAATAATGATCTTTTTGTTTAAGAATGTTATTAATTACTCTAAAAATGTTAATCTCATTTTCATAAGGAATTCTGTGAGTTGGTAAATTGTAATGAATTGTAACGAATTAAATAAGCCAATATTCAATATTATAGAATTTTCGAAGAGATTAGCTGTGTTGCTGAATAAGGATTTCAAGACATGTTAATAGATGTAGCATTAGAATGTTTGTAATCAAATGCAGTTGAATTGGTTCCTGCAGGATTCAATATAATAGGAAATTTGTAGGAGTAATTTTGGTAAAAATAGGATTAAGTAGTAATTGATAGGATGTTAAAATAGATAAGTTATATTTATGTATAACTATTTAGTGATACTCCATTCAATATGTCAAGTTTGAAAATAACATTTTATAAGGCAATAGGAACATTATGTAGTTCAAATAGTATATTGTAGAATGCTTAGAGAGTAAAAGAGTTATCTTAGATGTTTAATAAATTGTAAGGTAATAATGTTCATGTGTTGGAGAAAAGTAGTTGGGCAGCAGCAAATTTAAGTAGTTTAGTAAATGTGAGTGAAGATTTTTATAAGTTATTTTTGAATTTTGCAATGAATAGTAAAGAGAAGATTTCAACAAATGGTTTACGTGGATTAGGATATTATTTAATGAGATGCAAATAGCCAATAATAAATTAAGATTTGATAAATTGTTATGCTAATGCATTAGGATCAAAGAATGCTAAAATAAGTTGGAATGCTTCAACAAGTTTACATAATGCAGTATAAGGAGAATGTAAAGAATTATTAGAGAATGTGAAGATTAGATAGAGTATTAGAGATGTTTTAACAAGAGGAGGTATATTGAATAGAATTACAATTAGATAATTTAAAGGCATAGATGCATTGTGTAGAGTTGGTGAAATACTTAAAAAATGAATATGGGAAGGAATATTTGAAATAATTGATATAGATTTTAGTGAATTTTAAGAATCATGACAATTTTATAGAGAAGAAATATTAGACAAGAATGAGAGAGAGTGTATTTTAAGTGTTGGAAGTATTTTTTAAGAGATTGAGTATGGATGAATTAATAAATGAATTGGATGAATAATTGCATGGAGAAAATGCATTGGAAAGAGTGGCAAGTGAAATATATGCAGCCATTTTAGATAAGAAACCAAAGGATTCATAAATAATATTTGCTAATAGTGATTTAAGTAAGAAAGAAGTACTTCAATTATAACAAAATTTTAAAGATGATGAAAAAACATTTAAATAATAACATGAACATTCATATATTATAAATTAATATTTGAGTGTTCCAGTAGATGAAGAATTCTAGAATTGTTTTTAGTAATTGTCATTTATTGCAATGACATTACATAATATAATAGATGAATCTCCATCCGAAAAAATAATAAGTTTTTCTGCTTTAGAAGCTTTGTAAGAATTGGGAACGGATTCTAGATTAATAAAAATATATTCAATTGATTGATATATATATATAATATAAATGGGTTAGTATATGTGTAGTTTATTTGAATATGTGTAAGATAAAAAGTATAGTTGATAAGGAGGTGAAGTAATAAGAAAAGATTTTTAGAATATGGGTTTAAAAGGATGGAATGATTAAATGCAGAATATATTAATTATTTTATTTAAATAAAATGTACAAAATCATCTTAGCTTTACTTTTCGTTGGAAGTTTGGGTAGTACTGGACTATTTAACACAGACAATTAATGCACTTGTGATTAAATGGAATATTAGAGTGATTGTGCAAACATGAGTCCAATATGTACATGGGATGGAAAATCATGTTCAACATAAGATTGTAATATGTTAACTGATTAAAATGTTTGTGCTTCTAATTTGAAATGCATGTGGAAAATAACAGATTAAGGGGCTTCATGCGTAAATTTTACATTCTGTAGTTAATTATCTGGATCTACATAAATATAATGTTTATCATTGTCTAGTAATTGTCCATATACTGATGGTACTAAATGTGGAGCATATAATCAACTTATGTAATGTTCTAAATTGACAGCCAGTCAATATTGTGAAGGATATATCTCAAGAGATGGAATCTGTATGTGGAAAGGTTCATGTTTACCTGCTTAAAATTGTACAGCACTTAATTAAGATGAATGTACATTGGCAAGTATTGGATGTAAATATAATACTCCTGATGGTTGTTCTTAAAGACTTTGTTCTGATTTTACAACTCAATAATCATGCAACTTTGTTCTGACAGCTATTAATACAAGTGAATTTTAATTATGTAGTTGGGATTTTACAGCAAGCAAATGTTCTGCTGCAACAAATCTAGGAGGATTAGGATAAGGAAATTGTTACAATACGACCTTAGGATCTGCAAGATGGGTTTCTACTTCTGCTGGAGGAGAATGCCGATCTTGTTATGCTTCCATTGTATTTGCTTTCATTGCAGTATTATTCATCATTATGATTTGATACTATTAATTCATGAGCAAATATTTTGTGGTTCATAATATATATATTAAATAATATATCAGTATTACTAACTAGCTCAATTAAATGCATTCTTAACACTTTCCTTCTTTCCAAGTACTCTATCCTATTGTTGCTAGATAGCAATTCGATTATGATAAATCATCTCTTGATTACATCTTTAAACATTATCCATTCTCCCAATAACAAATCATTGTTTCTCCATTCAAATTCTTTAATTCACCATTACAATTCTATTCATCCAAATCATTACATCTTTTCTCTCTACAAATACTTGTTGATATATTCCAATCACATTCATTATATAAAGAACAAGCTGGAGTTCCGTTCATATTTGAACATTATGTCACTTATATACTTATACATTTATTATCTGTTGATGCTACACAATATTATTTATTTTATATCTTATACATCTCACACTCCATTTCTACTTATTAACAATTACCAATCTAAATTTTACTTTTACAATAACCCTCCTTTCCATTATAACAATTCTCATTTTTTTTATTACAATCTTCATTCCCATTCATTTAATAATCTTCACATCTTGTGAACTCTTCACATTTATTTTCATTATTTATTGCACAATTCTCATTCAATTCACATACTTCTATAGGTATATCTGCACATCTTCCCCAAACATGATCAATACATTTATTGTTCTCTAATATACAATCCTATATATAATTGCATTCAGTTATTAGATAATCCTAACAACTTTTGAATTAACATTAATCTTAATTCATTTTACATCTTTTCGACAATTAACAGTCGTTCTCATCAAGTTAATCGCAACTACATTCATTTTAATTACTGTAATTTATAATCAACAGGATCAGAAGTTGTAATTCCTAAATTATTTATTCCACAATACCAATTTTTTGGACATAGATATAGATTTTTTACAATAATTAAATTAAAATTGAATTCATTTTATTAAGTTAATGAATCACATTAATCAAGTAAAAGAGAGCCAACCTAATTCATGGGAAATTACAATTCTCTTTTCTTTATATAATATTAATAACGCGTATCAAAACAATTTTTTTGTATTTCAATAACTCTTAACTTATTAAATTATAATTTTATTAAGTACTTTTAAATTTTAAATTGAGTTTTTAAGTTTCATTCTCGAAATATGTTATTAACATAAAATTCCAAAGCCATCAGTTGATTCTTAATTATTATGATTACTTTCGACCACTTATCAAAAAGAATTGAATAACTTAAAAATAATATCATTCTCAAAAAAAAAGATTCAACTCTCCATTTCAATATTCAAAAAATATTTATTTATCATTCTAATATTAAATCCATCCCTTTTTCTGGAAAGCCTTCAAATATTCCAAGACATCAAAATACCATCTTAAAATTGAATAGAGTATATGTATTTATCTTACTTTTATTGAATAACAAATACATATTATTCTTTTTTCTCAAAGTATATACTCCAATGAATTTTATTCTATCTTTATTTTACTAATAGAGTCTCTCACACCAAAATTTTATTTCTCTTTTTAACTATTGATTTACTATGATCTCATTTAATTACTCTCAATTTGAATATTTAATGTATATCAACAATTTCACTTAATGAATTTACTTTATATTGTATTCAAAATGTAATCGAATTCATCAATATTTATACACTATCATCTTTCATTTAAATAATTTTATAGTATAATTACTCTTTTGATCTCCTCAAACAAATTTAAAATTGTGCATTTATTCAAAGATTTTAACCTATAATATCCTTTTATATAAATTTTATTTTTAATATTTTCCAAGTTTATTAATTATAATTATATATTTTATTATTAAAACTTATAATTAATCAAAAACCTTTATAAAGTAACTTTTGGCTTAGCTACTTCTTTTAGAAAAATTTTTTTCTATTTTTAATTTTTACAGAATCACCCAGAAATAGATCGGAAAATAAAATTTAAAATTAAAAAATGAAGGTATTATTAATAATAAAGATTATAATAGATGAAGTTTATTTTCAAAATAATCTACCCTCTTTTTTGTTCTGTTTATGTTTCCTGCTTAAATAACTCAACATAATTTTAACTAGCTGAATTACCGTAACTTTATTTTATAGAAAATGAAAGTTATTATTTAGATTAATCCAAATTTCAAATCCCTTTTTAAGATAAAGAAGATTTATCTAGAAAACTTGAAAATTTATCCTCCATAAAGTTAATAGAAAAATAAAAAGAATTTAATTTAGGTTTTGTTGATAATTCAACTCTATTAACATTGCTCAGACATTAATAAAAATATATTGATATATGTGCATTGCATAACGAAATCATCGATTGTAAACTAAGGATAAATAATACATTATATAATGATGACATAATCGTAAATGAAATTACATCTAATAACTCAATTAATCTCCCTAGTAAAGACTGCTACAATGCTTTTGTTATTGAGGATGAATCATTTCTTATTCATTGTCACAATTCTATCAATTAAATTTAATATTTTATCATAAACAACAAAAGTTAAATATTAGATGAAATCACAATTGATTAATCCCTAGATTGCAGATTTTAATCTAAATTTCAATTTAACAAAATATTTATTTATTCAATAGATTGTGAAGTATCAATACTTATATTAATTGAAACAATAAATAAAGATTCAAAAGTATAGTTTAATCATAATTTCATAAAATTGCATGAATAAGATAACTATCCAAAATAAACCAATTTAATTGATCTAAAAATTTGCGAGTCCAATTAAATATTTCTAATTTACAATAATTCAATGTTGTTGTTTAATCTAAACAATAATAGGACTATTACCTTCAATTATTAATATAAAAGATGGCTTGGTTATCTTGAAGAATCATGCTTTCCTTATGTTTTAAAAGGATAATTTTCAACTAAGCATAATATCGATTAAAATAATCTTCTTTTAGAAAAGAAATTAATGAAAGAATCATTGCTTAAAAGAATTCAATATTTTGAAAATATATTCATCTTTTAATATGAAAATGAAGCTAATTTATTGTATGATGCAATCTTAAATTAATAAATTTCTAATGTAAAACAGATTAATCAGTTAAACAAATTATCTTTTCTTGTGACTCTTGACAAGAATAATAATATTTCCATCTATAAACTTATATGCCTCACAAAAATTATCAAATACTAAAATTTTCCATATACTGCAATATTTTAGAAAAGCTTATATGGATTTTAGAACAATATAGTCTTATTATACTGTCAAACCTCTTTTTATTCTATAGAATTACCTTTTTAGATACCATAATTAGCAAATATCCAGATTACATAAGATTTTCTTCATAAGAATTCCTTCAGAGTCAATAAATCGTAATTAAATCAAATTATACCTACATATTTTGATTTAATATAAGATTTAGATCATATTTTTAACGAATAAAATAATGAAGCTATATTAACTTATCATAAAAAATTACCAATTAAAAAGATCTTAAAAATTATTTCAGATGAAATGAACTTTTTCGTAATTATTTATGAAGATTAGAATCATAAAATTTTTGTTCATATAAAGGGAGACAATTTTTAAAGAAATTTTAATGTAATGAATACAACTAATGAGATATCAGTAGAATCTTTCAAAGTAGGCCTTGATTCCATAATAATATTATTTATTAAAATTAATCAAATAACTACCTATATGATTTCCGATAAAAAGGATTTAATATACAAAGATACTATTATGTCTAAAATAAAAATAAAAGAGTGCAAGGCTGATCTAAATGAAATAATCTGTCTCTTCTATGATAATACTATCGGAATATATTCGACTAATATTTGGTCTGAATATTTCTAGACATAAAAAAAAGATCTTCAAGATTTTTGGTTTAAAGTTAAAGAAAACAAATTTGAAGATTTTAGAGTACCATACTTGTACATTAACTACGAGAATAATTATGTAGAAATTAAACCGTTAAAACCTTAATTAAATAACATCTTAATAACAGTAACTGGTTAAATACTTTACTCACATATATTTGTACTTCAAAACAGATTATTGTTAATCGTACAAAATGAAGATTTAATCTAATTACAGAATTATTACTTTGAAATAAATTAGATAAACTTCCTTTATAAAATGTCAACATATGAATTTCGAATTTTATATCCTTTAAAAATAAAATTTTATAGTAAATTATTCTGCATTATAACAACTAAAAATGGATAAGATTATTTATTCATTTATGATATCACCTAACAAGCAAGATCTTGCTTGAGATAAATTATTAAAATGTATCCTAATTACAACGATTTTGATCTGATTGATGAAACAGGCATTTTGAGCCTACATTTTCCAGATAAAATTATTATTAGTTATCCATTCATTATTATCAGTATCAATTCATTAAAAAAATCTGATTTATCTATAATAGAATCTGAAATACAATTTCAAGCCAAATCCTATATAGAATCCATACCATCATTTTTTAGTATCAATTTTTAATTGCCAAATATCGATAATAATTTGAGATATAAATTTAATGCTGAATAATAATAAAGGCTATTTGTTAATAGTTAAAATGAAATTACAAATATAGATTCCATCTACGGAAGCATAAATAGTTTAAATTTAAGTAATTGGTGTAATGGATTTATATAATTACCTATTAAAGTTTTAAAAACATAATAATTGAGCTGCTCTCAAATTATATAAAAATTTTGTTTAATTGATTAGAAAATATTAATTTACGATTTTTTTGATTCTAATGGAACTATCCTTTTACCAGTGAATCAAAAAATTTTAAATAATTTTAATTCTTTCTATCAGATCATTCCCATAATATATAATGACTTTAGTGGTTAAATTGCCTTTGTTAATATATTGAATAATCAATCAATAGAATAAAGTATAAATGAAACCAAATTTTATGAAGGAGTGAATGTGAGTTTTATTCATTATAAATTTTAATCTATAAATACTGATAACAGTTTGATTATTTTATATAGTGATAACATGGTTTAAATATATTCATTAATAGGAAATGAAAAAAATTTATCTTATTAATTAGACTGTTAAATACATTTTGAATAGATGATTTAAATAGAATATTTGTNAACAGTAACTGGTTAAATACTTTACTCACATATATTTGTACTTCAAAACAGATTATTGTTAATCGTACAAAATGAAGATTTAATCTAATTACAGAATTATTACTTTGAAATAAATTAGATAAACTTCCTTTATAAAATGTCAACATATGAATTTCGAATTTTATATCCTTTAAAAATAAAATTTTATAGTAAATTATTCTGCATTATAACAACTAAAAATGGATAAGATTATTTATTCATTTATGATATCACCTAACAAGCAAGATCTTGCTTGAGATAAATTATTAAAATGTATCCTAATTACAACGATTTTGATCTGATTGATGAAACAGGCATTTTGAGCCTACATTTTCCAGATAAAATTATTATTAGTTATCCATTCATTATTATCAGTATCAATTCATTAAAAAAATCTGATTTATCTATAATAGAATCTGAAATACAATTTCAAGCCAAATCCTATATAGAATCCATACCATCATTTTTTAGTATCAATTTTTAATTGCCAAATATCGATAATAATTTGAGATATAAATTTAATGCTGAATAATAATAAAGGCTATTTGTTAATAGTTAAAATGAAATTACAAATATAGATTCCATCTACGGAAGCATAAATAGTTTAAATTTAAGTAATTGGTGTAATGGATTTATATAATTACCTATTAAAGTTTTAAAAACATAATAATTGAGCTGCTCTCAAATTATATAAAAATTTTGTTTAATTGATTAGAAAATATTAATTTACGATTTTTTTGATTCTAATGGAACTATCCTTTTACCAGTGAATCAAAAAATTTTAAATAATTTTAATTCTTTCTATCAGATCATTCCCATAATATATAATGACTTTAGTGGTTAAATTGCCTTTGTTAATATATTGAATAATCAATCAATAGAATAAAGTATAAATGAAACCAAATTTTATGAAGGAGTGAATGTGAGTTTTATTCATTATAAATTTTAATCTATAAATACTGATAACAGTTTGATTATTTTATATAGTGATAACATGGTTTAAATATATTCATTAATAGGAAATGAAAAAAATTTATCTTATTAATTAGACTGTTAAATACATTTTGAATAGATGATTTAAATAGAATATTTGTTTTATGATGATTCTTAATACTTTTTTCTATTATTAATTTCCGAATCTACAATGATTTTAATAAGTTGTCACAAAAACATGTTTGACCTCAATAAAAGTGTTAAATTTGATCCTTTTTTTCAAATAGTGGCTTTTCACATTTTGGATTTTGAAATTTTTAATTCTGAGATCCATCTTAATGTTATTTTATTTTGTCTTAAAGATATTGGATACATTTTTTAAATTAATTTTGACTTTAGAGAATATAAGATTCAAAAATAATCTATAAAATAATTAATAAGATATTTAAATGTGACTTTTGAAAAATTCCAAAAATTAACAGAAACCATTTATATTCTGAAGGGAATATCTGATAAATCAATCTCATCATCTTTTTTATATAATATAAATCGAAACTAAACAATTGTAGACGAATTAGTGGATTATTTTTATAAATATGAATAAGCTTAAGATATCTAACGTTATAATGAAACACATTTTATCTTATAAGAAAAAAGAGATCTAGGAATCGTTGTATAGCTTATTTAAATTAACTATTACAAAGTAATATTTGTATAAAAACAATGCAATTTAGTTTTGAATAACGATGTATCAAGACTCACCACAATAATAATTCGATAAGAAAATATACTTACCTAATCTTAGATTACATTATATTTAGTTATAGTCGATTTTATATTAATCATACTTTTTAATAGAAATAAATAGAAAAATCGCGCTGCTTGTTGTTAAAGATCATGATTATCATTAAAATAACATTATATATTTAAATAAGATTTATAAACTATTGTATTAAGAATATATATGAAGAATTTCTTAAATGTGTAATCATTTTATTGCACAATATATATTTCTACATTTTACATTTATAGATTAAAGAAATCAAATTCTACTTTAATAATATTTTTATGACTCAAAAAAATTAAGATTACTAACAATAACTATTATTAAATGATCAAACAAATGATGATAGATCCTGGGGATTAAAATAAGAAAATTTAAACAAAACCAAGGTTTAAACAGAATAAGATGATGAAATTGTTAACTAACCTTAAATTAAATAATAAAATTCTTCAAAATAAGGAAGCTTTTGGGCTATATGTCTTTGTTAATGTTTTATCGAATGTCTGGGAAGTTGTTGTATTTAAATGATAGCAAAATGAAAATGCTGATATTATTAATAATATATTTTTATATTCAAAAACATTCAAAATATTTTATTAGATATAAGACTATAGCTCCTATAAGATGTCCAGTTTAGAAAAAAAATGAATAAAAAAGGATTATTTTATTTTTCAAATAATTCAGTTCTATATATTAAATACTCTAAAAATGAAAGTTTAAAATAAAATAATTCCCTTGATAAAATTCATATTATAAATAAAGATTTCTCTATAATAGATAATGACTTCAAAACATATTCAATAATTAATTTACAGCTTCATTTAGCAACTATGGGTGATTAATAGAAATACATCGCTTCTATCATATTTATTAAAATTCAATAATTAAATTTATTTTTTATTTTATTATATATATAAAACTAAAATAAATAACAATTCTATAAAGCTTTAAATTTTTAAGTCTAATCATAATTAAAAAAAAAAAAACCTTCAATTGGTAGGTAAGGCTTGAAAACTATGATNTGCAATTTAGTTTTGAATAACGATGTATCAAGACTCACCACAATAATAATTCGATAAGAAAATATACTTACCTAATCTTAGATTACATTATATTTAGTTATAGTCGATTTTATATTAATCATACTTTTTAATAGAAATAAATAGAAAAATCGCGCTGCTTGTTGTTAAAGATCATGATTATCATTAAAATAACATTATATATTTAAATAAGATTTATAAACTATTGTATTAAGAATATATATGAAGAATTTCTTAAATGTGTAATCATTTTATTGCACAATATATATTTCTACATTTTACATTTATAGATTAAAGAAATCAAATTCTACTTTAATAATATTTTTATGACTCAAAAAAATTAAGATTACTAACAATAACTATTATTAAATGATCAAACAAATGATGATAGATCCTGGGGATTAAAATAAGAAAATTTAAACAAAACCAAGGTTTAAACAGAATAAGATGATGAAATTGTTAACTAACCTTAAATTAAATAATAAAATTCTTCAAAATAAGGAAGCTTTTGGGCTATATGTCTTTGTTAATGTTTTATCGAATGTCTGGGAAGTTGTTGTATTTAAATGATAGCAAAATGAAAATGCTGATATTATTAATAATATATTTTTATATTCAAAAACATTCAAAATATTTTATTAGATATAAGACTATAGCTCCTATAAGATGTCCAGTTTAGAAAAAAAATGAATAAAAAAGGATTATTTTATTTTTCAAATAATTCAGTTCTATATATTAAATACTCTAAAAATGAAAGTTTAAAATAAAATAATTCCCTTGATAAAATTCATATTATAAATAAAGATTTCTCTATAATAGATAATGACTTCAAAACATATTCAATAATTAATTTACAGCTTCATTTAGCAACTATGGGTGATTAATAGAAATACATCGCTTCTATCATATTTATTAAAATTCAATAATTAAATTTATTTTTTATTTTATTATATATATAAAACTAAAATAAATAACAATTCTATAAAGCTTTAAATTTTTAAGTCTAATCATAATTAAAAAAAAAAAAACCTTCAATTGGTAGGTAAGGCTTGAAAACTATGATATTACTTCATTATGAAGATATTTGTTTAAAAATTTCTGTTTAGCAATCTAAAATGTATCACATAAAAGTTTATTTCTACTAATTATTTACTCGATTTATTTTGTTAATTCAACTTATTTACATCTTTATTTCCGAAAAATAGTACTTTTAATTGCAAATAGTTTATTGTAATTTTATAATTTAATCAATTAACAAAAGAAATATTTAGTTTTATTTGAATATTCATAAATTATTTGAGAATAAAAATAAAAAGCGAGTTTATAAAATGACTTATTATCAGAAGCTGGAAATTATGAAATATGACACAGCTATGAAAAGTTCTAAAATAAGAACAATAATATTGATATTAACGAATAAAAGCTAAAATTCAAGAGCAGTTTCAATTCATCCAAATTGATCAATTAAAGATTGGATAAATTTATTATATTTTATTTCAAGAAGTTATGTCTATCTATAAAATTGAAATTAAATAATGTAGAATAATTTTAAAGTATTTTTCTAAATAAATGGGATAAAGATTGATATTTGAAAGATGCGAACAAAAATGAGGGTTTATTAATGTGAATTGAAACTTTAGCTATTAAATAAATATTAATAAAATGATGCCTATGAAAAATTTTCTAATTTACAACGTCGATAGTAAGAAGTCATATGTTTGTTCAAATAAGGAGATTTAAAATGGAACACTGGAGCAATAATTAAAGAAAAAAAAGGAAGGAGTAAAAAGTCTATTTTAAGGTTTAGCAAAAATGCAAGTGTGGATAGAAAGTATTTTCTATATATTCTATATTGAAAGGAGAGTTTAAAGAAGAAAAAAAGAAATAATTATCATATTACAATGCTAGAAAAGAGGAAATTACAAAAAGATTAGAAGTTATAGAGGAATATGAGCAGGCGAAAAAAATTAAGAGTCAAGCAAAAATTAATAGACTAGTTAATAAGAAAAGAAGTAATATTGTTCAGTATATTAGAAAATAGGGAGAAAAAGATTAATAGAATAAATTTAATAATATATTATAGTAAGCTATTGTAAAAGTAAAGCCTAATGTAAATTGGAGTGATATAGCAGATTTAGAATCTGCTAAGCTTGCCTTGAATGAAGCTGTCCTTTTTCCAATAAAATTCCCTCATTTCTTTGAAGGAGCAAGAAAACCTTGGAAAGGAATTCTTATGTATGGAGTAAAAATTAAGAAAAAAAAAATTAGCCTCCAGCACCTTCTTTTCTATAACTTCTACTGATCTCGTCTCATAATAAGAGGGAGAGATTGAATAATTGATAAAGACTCTATTTACAATGGCTAGAGAATAAAAACCATCGATTATTTTTATAGATAAAATTAATTCTCCTCTTCAAGCTTAAGAAGATGTTCAAAATGATACAAACAAAAGAGTTATTACTGAATTTTTGAGGTAAATGTTAGAAATTGGATAGGATAATATTGAAGTCCTTATACTTGGTGCAACTAATCTACCATGGGCTTTAGACACTCCTATTTGCAAAAGGTAATTATTTACTATGTCTAATGTTTTTAGATTTGAAAAAAAAATATATATTCCACTTCCTGATAAATAATCATTTTAAGATCTATCGGATATTCTGAATTAGATATTAGTTTATTAATAAGAGATGCTGCTTATGAACAAGTTAGGAAACTTCAATCAGCCAAAAATTTAAATAAATCACAATTAATGGTTAATTTTAATGGACTCCTGTTGCAGACAACGAAGAAGGAACTCCAAAATCTTTTATGGAACTAAATCAAAAAGATATTGTTCTTCTAATGTTTGTTATTGTGATTTCCTATTAGCATTGAAAAAATTTAAGAAATCTGTTTCATTAGATTAACTAAGAGAATATGAAAAATGGTCTAAATAATTTGGACAAGAAAGTTGATTCTTATTTTTATTATATATATAAATATATTTTATTTATTCAAAACATATTTTAATATAAATTATCATAAATTATTTTGTTATATTAACTTAATTATTTATTTTTTATTACTAAAGTCTTTTATTATACTTTTTAATGATAATATATAACATATAAAATAACAAATTCCTTAATTCATGACTTTTTATTATAGTCTCCAATTTTATAATTTTAGTATAATAATTTGAAAACATGCATTTGATATGCATTTTGATCAGTGAAATAAAAGATTCTTAACCTATATGATTAGATATTTATTGAGTGAAAAAGTATTAATTAAATAAGTATGGTGAGAGTATGGTAAGGAGATTAGAATAAGATAATAAGTAAGAAAGTGCGAGGGAAAATGTAATTAAAGAAGAGAATGTTTAAAATAATTTTTTTATATTATAAAATAAATAAAAAAAAAAATGGACCCAGAAAAATAACTGATGGATTAACCATTGGAAGAGGAATCAGAAATAGATGAAGATGAAAAGAGAGAGAAGGGAGATAAGCATTAACAATTGTATAAAGATTTATTAAATAGATTAGATTGAGTGCATGTTAGAAAGGAGATTTATAAGCAGCGCAGCGTTGTTTGGATAAGAAGGCAAATGTTTTTGTTGAGGATAAGAAGAAATGGAATTGTTTGATGTGGGCATCATGTAGAGGGTACACAGAGATAGTTCGTCTTTTATTATCTCGTTAAGCAGCAGCCTTATATGTTCCAGAAATGGCTACAATATTGTAGAACTTTGCATAGACAATGCCAATATATTCAAGTCCATTGAATTAATCATCTCCAACAAAATCAACATATTTTGGTGGAAGTCCTGGAGGTGTAGCTTAATCAGCAATATTTAATTTCCCCTAATAACCATAATAATAATTATCAAGGAAAGTGGTTTAAGGTATAATAAATTAATAAGTACGTTCAACACCATTGATGTGGGCATGTTTTAAAGGACATGTATAGGTTGTATGGTTATTATTGAAAGCAGGGTTGAGTTGGGAGGTATATATATTATAATTTATATAAAATATATAGGATGTTGATCAATTTGGTAATAACAGTGTGCATTTGGCAGCTTCAGGAGGAAACTAGATAGTATTTTAGACATTATTGTTTTATGGAGTTGCAGTAGATAGACCAAATACAAGAGGACATACAGCTAAAGATTTGGCAACAAATGCTTATATATTGTAATTGATAAAGTTGTTAGAAGCAAATGGATAAACATCTAAGTTTTTTTGTATGACGTGTCGTAAATTTTGGAAGGAAGAGGAATATAGAATGGATTGGGTATATGAAAATGCTGAATCTACAGATCTGGAGAAACCAGAAGGGAGATGTTTGAATTGTTGGAATATAATAAAGAAACATACAGAAGAATTATTAAGTATTATTGAAAAATAAGATCATAAATTATTGACAGAAAAATTGAACGAAATTGAAAAGGGGATGGTTATCAAGAATGAAAATGGAAAAGAAGAATTATAAAGAATTGAAATAGATCCTAAGAACTATAAATTTGCATTGATTGAATAAGAGAAATTGAGAACATAGAATGTTATATTGGATTATTTGAGTACTTTAAAACATGTTCCAAATTATAAGACAATCTTAAAATCAGTTAATTAGATTTAATCAATGTTAGATGATGCAATAAGTAGAGGAGTTATGATTGATGCTCATGTTAAAGAAGAAGCAGAGAAAGAAATGGATAGATTAAAAGCAGAGGTATATATATATGTATAATCAATATAATAGAGAAATTTATAATTTGAATTAGATAATTTAGATATTGGATTGTCTACACCAGAATAAGTGGTTGTGTTGAATGATAAAGTAGTTATAGCAACAGAAAAAGGAGTTGATAAATAATATATAGATTAAGCTTCAGAATTAAGAGATAAAATGGCAAAAGCTATTTAAGCTAAGAAAATATTGAAGATGTTTAATGAATATCCTGCTAGAGAAATACCAGATCCTATTAAATGGGATCCTAAGACTAAAAAACCTATAGATCCAATTACTGGAAAACCTATTGATCCTCTTAAATTAGCGTTATAGAATTAGAAAAAAAAGAAAAAGAAGGAACCAAAATTTGTTATTCCAGAATGGGCTAATGATGTCAAATCTTTAGATGAAAATATTAAAGGTATATTATTATTGAGTAATTATAATTTATTTAGGATTGGAAGGTCTTTTAAAGGAAGCAGAAGTGCTAAATTTAAATCATGAATTTGTTGAAGAAAGTGTCTAATAAATAAAGAGAATGAAAAATGAAATGAGATATAGAAAAGAAGTTGATGAATAATTAAAGTGGATTGCTGATGCTAAAGCAGCAGAAAAAAAGAAAAATAAATGATATATAATGTATCAATCTAATAATTCAATATTCTTGACTGCATTAATTATGACTTATTTTGAAGTTTCGACAATCTCACCACCTACAATCATCTCATCCAAAATTGAATATGCCTTACAAAATAGTATTTATTTACTTTATTGAAATTGAAGACTATATCCAATTCACAAACATTTCCAAAATACTTGTCTAATACTTCTACATACAAATGTATCAATTCTAACATTGTTAATTCATTGTCACTCACATCTACACATAATGCAAAAAACAATCCTGCATATCTTTTATAGATAATTTTATAATTCCTGAACTAATTATGATTTAATTCAATACTTCTAAAAAGTTAGTGTGTTTTGTATCTCTACAAACTATTAATCGATGAACCTCATTCTATAACTTTACTTTCTCAGCATCATCATAATACACATACCATTTAGATAGTCTTGTCTTTCCTTGTCTATTTTGTAACAAAATGAATCTAATCTTAAATGAATTACTATATATATTCGTACCATGATTTTTATTCAAATTTATTTATTTATTTAATTATATATATATATAAATAAATTAAGTAAATTCATTAAGCAATCCAAGGATGATTTATAATTTGTTATATGGTTGGTCGCTTATTACAATCATGTTAAAGGATTCCCTTTACAAAATTTTAAAAATCTGGGCTACTCCATTAAGGGCATGAATATTTTAAATACTAAATCTTTTATTTGGTGTCATTTTCATTATGAGATTCAAATGGTGGTCTTCCTATTAATTAATAATCATCATCTAAATTACCAACTACTAACTCATATGCTAATACTCCTATAGTCCATACATCCACTCTATTATCATGAGGTTGATAATTAATCATCTCTGGACATAAGTAATCTAAAGTACCACACAATGTCTTCCTTCTATTTGATGGAGTATGAACACTCCAACCAAAATCAGATATCTTAAATATGTCATCATTGAAACATAAAATATTTTCAGGTTTCAAATCTCTATGTATTACATTCATAGAATGCATATATCCTATTGCCATTGTTATTTATTTTATTATATTTGAAGCCATCTTTTCATTAAATCTCTTATTCTATTACTTCTTCATCAAACCATACAAATCACCTAATGGAGCCCACTCCAACATTAAATAAACACGTTTCTCTGTTTAAAAAAAACCATAAAAATTTATTATATTAGGATGCTTTAGATGTGTTAGTATCTCAACTTCTCTTGTTAAAGATCCTGTTAATTAACATAGATTAAGTTATCTCTTACTTATTACTTTCAAAGCCAAAATGAATTTACTTTCACGCTCCCTAATATGATATAAAATAATCATTTACCTCGCTAAGTAAACATGACCAAATTTACCATTCCCTAAATACCTGCCCATTTCAAAATTTCTCAAACTCCACTAATTAGGATCAAATTCTTTGTTTAATATTAATAATACCTTTATCTGCTTAATTGAAATCTTCATCTTCACTATAATTATTTCTTGTTTCTTCCTCTATTGAGTTTTAAATCTAAGGTTTCTTATCTAAGTATTCAACTCCTCGTGTATTCTCATAAGTATTTGTAATAATTGATAGAACCGAATTTGCGGTTTGCCACATACAATTTAACAGCAAAAATTATTTTATAATTTATATGAAAAATCATAAAAAATTTATATTTCTATAACTGATTATAATATATATATTAATCATTAAATAAAGATTCTACCAAAATTACCATTGTGACTTATAAAATAATCACAAACCTTACCTAAATTATCAAACCATCCAAACATATCCAGGAATTCTTAAATATTGGAAATTCTTTTCATTTTACTGAATAATATAATAGACATATTTATCAATTGTAACGAAAATCGTGTTTTAATACTTGCCTTTATAGGAATTGTAGGCATTGCTCTATTAAACTTCTGCATAATTTTATTCCACTTAATTCTAAATTCCTTCTTATACATCATTTTTTTATCAAGACTCTAAATAAATGAAAGCCCTTTGGAAAATACACTCTCCTAATCATGGCTTCATTATTATATTTATAAGGATATTGTAACACATTTCCAAATATCAATTGACTCTTCATAAAATTTGAGAATAAGTTCAACAGACTTTTTTTTGTCTCCTCTGAATATATTAATTGATTGATCTCTACTGATTTATAATGTTATAAAACAATTAATTATTCAGGTTCCAAAATCTAATTAATATCAGCTCAACTTAAAGTTTAAAATTCTACTTCAAAATCTACTCATCTGAATTAGAATCTATCTTCATAATTATATGTTAAGTATTTTTAATTATATCTACTACTATCACTATTGCTGTTATTAATATTCATATTGCAATAGTTGTAAATCAAATTCATTAATAACTGAGAATTAAGATTCCAATTATTATTAAGGAGAATCCTCTAACTCAATTGTTTCATCTTTAATAATTACTAATTCTATTTATTTTTATTCTTAAAAAATTTATTCATTAATCTATAACAATACCAATTTGTTCAATGTCTATAAAAGGTTGTTTTTTCAAATATGATATTATATTTTCATTTTTAATTGGCTATTTCATCTTTTCCGCCTAAAAATCTTAATAACAGCTTATCTCATTTGGGGATCTGGAAATTATTTGGTCAATTAAACAATTTCCTTTTAAATTAAAAAAACATTTGTTTAATCTCAATACTTTCTATTTTGGCTTAGACTATTCCGATAACCTAACCAAAGTTCATAAAAAATTGTCGATAATCTTCATAAAACTCACTTTAAGTTCTCATCTAAAAAATTAGAAATGTGAAATTCTACAATATTCCCATAATTTAATCCACTATTTTCACTCAACAATTCTAAGATACATAAATATTCATAAGAAATTTTAGAGACAAAATGAGAGAGCATGAATAAAGTGTTTTTCGTTGATAATTACTGTTACCTTTAGAATAATCTTTTTAACATATTTTTATTATTCGTATTATTAAACTATTTGTAATACAGAACAGTCTTCATTTCTAATAAAAATTTTCTTAGCTACATATATATGTTTACATTTTTTTTTGAATTAATTTTAAATGAAATCAAAATAAAATATATAAGTTTAAAAATAAATGTAAATTTCGAATATCATAATAAAAATAAAACATATTTATCATTTCAAATGATGTTTAAATTTTCATTCATCAAAATACATAAATCGAAAATTTTATTCATTAAAATAAAACAACATTTTGTATGAACCTAACAAATTTAAGATTATATATATCTATAGGTTTCCTTCTATCCAATTTAAGAAAAAATTTAAATTTGATTGAATAAATATCAAATTCTAATAATTCTTTTTAACATGCAAATGTTTTCTTGATATGACGACTTGTATATCTACCAAGTCCAACTTCAAGAACTTCTCCAGCAATTATGTTCATAATTGTAAAATCCAAAGTTAAGAAGACAATAATCCCCATAAATGCCATACCTAAAAGAGAACTGAATAGAAATATAAGCAAATACAGTATATTACGTCTATCGAATAGATTTCTGTTATCAAGAGCAGTACTAAACTGATAAAATTGAGGGTAATTTAAAAAAACTTATTGTAAGTAAAGATGAAACCTGTATTATATTTATAGAATTATAGACGTTTCTGGAAGATTTCAACTAGTGATTCCCAACTACCACAAAAATGTTCTTTCTATGCTATTTTCTAGGCAGAAAACACAAGCTTCTAAAGTTTACATAAATTTAAAATATTTTTATTAATGACGATTTATTGAAAAATATAATTACATTAAAATAAATAATATCATTTATCGAGTGAGTCTTGCAACGCTTAGATTTTTGAAAGTAATTAATTAATTTCTTATTCTTAATATTTAATCATCTACGAAGTCTAAGCCTATAATTTTTCTCTATTCTAAATTTCTTCAGTTATTCTCCTTTCAATCATTTCAGTATGAGGCACAACCCTAAATGCATATTGATGTGTATCAATTTCTTTCTTGCCCAACTATCTTTCTATAAGTTCACATTATTCTATTAAGGCCCTTCTCCATTTCTACAATTTATCTATACTTATGGTCTCCACTTCAGTAGATAGAATATCATTTTCTAATTCATGTAAATTAGTTAATGTTTCTGAAGATGTAAATTAGGGTTACATGCCCAAACTCTCACACCTAGTTAATTAAGGTTTTTTAGGTTGTGCTTCCTAATTTTATTAATACAGATTCACTGTAACTCTTCGTTATTATTATATTCTATGAGATGGTAAAATAGCTGGACTACGTGCCTTCATTCCATTACTCGAATTGATTTTATCAGGAAAAAAGCGAACGTTACAAAGTGAGTTTACTTATTTTTTATGAGTTGCCATTAAAATTTAAATTATTTATTATGCACAACATCTCAAATACTAATCGTACAATTCAACCAGATAAATTAGAGTCTCTAGAGAGTATCTTCATATTAATATTTACATAGTTTAAATGCTCTCTTTCAATAATGAATTGTTTTAATAACTCTTATAAATTTGGAGAGACAATCACATTCCAGATTGCCATCAAAAATACTTCTATAACATACTTAAAACTCATGAAACTTAAGCTCTCTCTCTTATACGCTAAGAGATCGACAGTTTTCAAAATAATAATAGTATTGTGAAAACATTGCTTCAATTAACCTTAAGTAGAGAGCATTGTCTACAAGAAATCTAAAAGACAAAATGTTTTATTTTAATGGATTTCGTTAGATTAATTTCAAAATAAATCTATGATCTTAGAAAATTAACTTACAATTTAATTGAATTCCATCGTAAATGGAGAAATTCACTAAGTGCTAAGTTTAAATACAATTATGCATGGATCATCAATCGTAAAGATTATTTATTCAAAATAATTGATGATTCTAATATATTTCAACGTACACATCCTAAACTACTAAGTTACTTCAATCTTAAGGACTCTGATATTTTTTATTTGAATATTATTCAATAAGCTCATTTGGAAAATGTAGAATATTTTGATTTTTTGGCAATACATCTAATAAAACAATCTTAAGTTGAACGAATGATAGAATCATTCAGATATTTTTCAGATTTAACTACCGAACCTCATTTGTAGTAAACTTACTAAATGATAGAAACTATATCATTTAGAACTAAGACATCTATGTAATTTAATTCTCAAAGAATGAAGATTGACATTCCAGCTGTCACTTAATTGGACGATTATCCTAGTACAATGTTATATGCTTAAGAAGATCTTTAATTTAAAATTTATCATTATCCTTAAAAAGACTTTGAGAAGGTGATAACCTTTTGGTAAAGTTAGAATGTGAAAGAATTGAATGAAGCTTTTAAGTGTCCTATGGATCATCTTAAAGATGTCTTTTTGTTTTGGCAAGAAGCAACAATCATACAAATAAATCAAACAGCTTTAATTTTATGTTCTATAGATCAAGATTGCAATTAAAGAAGATGGATTATTCATTCAATTTACATTGTTCAAGAATAAGAATCTTGGCAATAAAGATTCAATAAGATAGTTTAACATTTTATTAAAATGTTAATTTAAAAAGTAGATCCCTTTGTTTCTTTAGTGATTTCATGTAGCAATGATAAACCTATAAAATAGTTATTGCAATAATTGAAATTCACTTTTCTTAAAAATGTTTCTTATATTTAATTTGCAGTTTCCTTTTATGAATTTAAGATAAATTAAAATTAAATAAATCAGAATTAAATCAGTTCTGGGTCTAGAAAGTACTTTACTCCTTTGAGTTTGAGAATGATTCGTATTTTTGCCACATAAACCCACTCATAAACGATAACTGATGAGGAATTATTAATTGCTTAATTTAGTGCTAATTTGGGAAAGAACAATATTATACATTTTGAAAACAATATTACTGCTCTACAACCTATATTGTCTGTATTTATTATATTTATAACGATTTTTCAAAGAAATCAAAATTGTATGGTCAAGAATACGTGTTAGTTCATAAACAATAAGACATAAAGAATAGATTCTAAGTGCAATTTAACTCTCCTATTGATGGGCCTGTATATTTTTAAAACTTTGCTATAAAATTGAATTTTCAATACTTTTCAAGTGAAATACATCGTAATACAAATGCACCATATATTCGTTTGATTCCTGTATGATAATATTCCTTATTCCCTTAGCATCCTTCGTAGAATGAATAAGAGGCATCGGTTTTGGAATTAACTTCTAATGAAATTTAATCACGTAGAATTTATCTTGTCTCAACAATACACCCAACTATTAAGATGTATACTGTAACCTAATAATCCTTAGATACATATATGAGGTTTAGAAAAATGAAATAACAAAATCAAATATCTAATAACATGTTAATTCAATTTTTGAGAAATTCGATAAGAAATAGGAAGGATTACAAAGTTTATGGTTACCCTTCTTTAGAGCAACAAACAATTCCCTTGCCTTACCAAATTCAATTATAAATGGATTCTTTTAAAATAACACTTCAGTTTCTTTTTGTTACCATAGAATTGCAGGGTTCCATTCTGTTTCTAATGTTCATGATTTAGATAAAGTTATACAACCTCCCTTTTTGATTGGAATAATTTAAAATGATATAGAATAAATAAATAAGCCATTGTTTTCTATGTTGGTTGAGAAAGATTGCATAATAAAGAGTTCAGAAATGATTCAGTAAGGGACTCAGTATGGTTAATAGATAATGCCTTTGATTATGCAACCTAGAGATATTGATGGGAAGATAAATGAACTACTAAAAATAAATGTATTGGAATTATAGAAATCATTCAATTCTGATCCTTACTATTTATCATAGAAGTTGAAGTATGGATTAGAAGCTGCATTAATGAATATAAATAATGGATATGCACTTATTTATGTTGATGAGAATCATTTTCAAGAGAAGAAGTGGATAATTGAGTCAATAATGACAAATAATATTGATCATGTATCAGGATTATTATTGAAGTTGAGTGAATATATATTTAATGCAGATTAATTTGCTAGTGAAATCTAAATCAGTTAGGTATAAACATATATTTAATGATTAAGAATCATTATTCTGATTAGGGTGAATTGGTAGCAAATAAGTAGGTAACTGATTGCATTAGAAAAGCTAAATTTAAATGGAGATTAGTAGATAATGATGCTAGAAGCTAATAGAGAAAGACAATTTATAGTTTAAAGCGATCTGTTTAAGATTTGTATTTTATAATATGAAATAGTCCTCCGAAATAAGAGAATTAGATTTGTATTCAATTCTAGTGTTATTATGCATTATAGTAAAGTGAATAGAAAATAGAAACAAAAAATAAATTAGAATATTTTAGAGTCAAAGATTTTTATTAATTTTTTGAAGATTGTTTTTAATTCCATATGGATAGTGAGTATTAAGATGAGAATCCTTTTTTAAGAAATAAATTTTAATAATATTAGGGTTCTTTGGGAAATTGTGAATTTAGAGTATTGGGTAATTAGAATGAATTGAGATAGAGTTTAAAATTGGATATAAAATTACCAAAATTTGATGAGAGATTTTAGATGGTATTTTATATAATGGGATTGAATAGTTTAATGTTTTTTAGATGAATACATAATTGAGATTGAAAAGATAAAGATAGGTGATGATTAAGAATAAGAAATACATTGAGATTCCAAACATTGAAGGTGTTCAATAGATATATTAATCTGATTTGTATTAGAATAATTTAAGGGTGTTTTTTATACCAACATCTGATTCTATGAGTTATTTTTATGTGATTGAATTACCAAATTAATAGATGGTGAATTAAATAAAATAGGATTATCTTAATATTACATCAATGATATGTTAAGTATGTATTTATAATAATTGATAGTCATTTCAATTCAAGTACAATAATAGTTGTAAATCATTGTTAATAAAAGAGTTTGATTAAACATGTTAGATGAATAAAGAATCAAATATGTTATATGTTGATTTTGCTTTAAGTAGTGAATTCACACTAGGACAATAAATAATAGAAGATGAATAGAGGGAGAATCAATAATGGATAGTATAATTGCCAATGATGAGTGGAATAGTGTAGATAAATGTGAAAAATCAATATGAAAGACCATTAATTGGATGGATAATCGATAAATGATTTTATATATATATATACTTGATGAAATACAAAAAAAAATTAAATTCATAAAAAATGATGTAAATTCTTTAAAAAAAGCGAAATTACTTTTATTAGATCAAGTAGTTGATTTTGAATATGTTAGAGAACATTACACAATCATTTGAAGTTCTTTGTAGAGTAGCTAATGATTAATAGTCTCTGAAACCAATAGAAAATGCAATAAAATGTATGGATTAATACTATGATTGCATCTAATTTGTTAAATAGGATTACATAATGAAAGAGATTCATTTCAGAGAGTAATTGTAATCAAGATTGATTAAGCATTCATCAGATATAAATCATATTTCAGTATATAAAGATGAAGTATTGTCTTGTGGATAGGAAGTTTATTTGTTTAAACAGAAATAATAGTATCTAATAACAAAGAGCAATCTTCCTATATATAGTGGAATAATTTTGTCAGATGGCAAAGTATTATTAGGAGGAGAGGAGAAAGTCATTCATGTTTATAAATAAATAAATAATCAATATATTGAGACAACTTAATTAAGAGGATTTAGTAGAGCAATAAGTTGTATAATGAAATCCTAGAATGAAGACTATGTAGGTGTAAGTAGTTTAGATGGTAGAATAACATTGTATGAAAGTGAGAGTCTCAATAAGATGGGAGCATGGATGAATGTTTTGGGATCCTTGTATAGTTTATCCTTTAGTGTAGATAATAATTACTTAGTAGCAGGAAGTAAGAAAGGAATAGCAATATGGGAAATTAAGAAGACTTACAATAATAACAATCCAGCTGAATTACTTCAAACATTAATTACAAAAAAGAAAGTCAGATCTGTTTCTTTTTCAAGAAAATAAAAGTTGTTAGCTGCCACTCATAAGAAAGAGATACTGATGTATCATTATTACAAAGAAGATTTTAAAATCTATCAAAAATTACTTCATCATAATGAAATAGTTAATTGTGTTTCTTTTGGGAGAGACATACTAGTTTCTGGAAGTGATGATGCAACTATATGTTTATGGTCATGTAGTATCAAAGGATTTTGGATTTGTTATTAAGTTGTATAAATGAATTGTTGCATTAATTCTATTGCACTCAACTCAAAATAAACAGATATATATTTCGATTGTTATGATACGGTTATTCATTATTATTAAATTTGATATTGATATATTTTAATATCATTTTTTATGATTATATGCTGCAGCTGCTGCTATCAATTTGGAATCCTAAGTCTTTAATACATTTTCCCATGTATAATCTTAAATCAATAATTTAATTTGTTCTCCTTCTCCTTCTTCTCCATGTGTTTTCTAACATAACTCTTATAATTATGTTTCATCCATTTACTTCTCCACTACAAACAGATGAATTACTTCATCACTTCCTCCTGGTGATACTAAAATATCCTATAAGTATTTCATTTCATTATGTTGTATGCTAATACCAGTTTCCTCCTTTATTTCCTTTGCAGCCACTCCTCCAAAATCTCCTTATTCATCCATCATACCAGCAGGAGCTTCTATTGTAAATTTACCTACAGGCACTCGAAATTACTAAGTCAAAATCATCTTCTTATTCACCAACAACAAAATTGCCACAGCATCTCCTCTCAAAAATACAAACCCTGGTAACTTTATTCCATTCAAATATGCATCCACTATCAAATTTAAAAAACCAACATTTTATCCAAACATGTACACATAAGATACCTCTATTTACCTCACTTCAACACTCGATTATTCCCAAGAGTTTATATAATTTTAAAACTTCTTAGCCTTCTCCACCTTATTAAAATGATCAATCAAAACATTCTCTCCCTTTATAAAAGGTATATTTTTCCCTCTTATCATTATATGTCGTATCATTTTACTTTATTAATTATGATTAATCAAATTTCAATGAAGAAATTAGAACTAGGAAAAAACTCACAAACAAATAATAATAGAAATTTGGCAGGATAGATTCTTAACTTATATTGGAATTTTTAACTTTAGGCGCAGCTAAAGAATCTCAAAAACTTGACCAACTGCGAATTCCATTTGCAATATTTTAGACTTGATGAAAATTTTCTGAATGAAAAAGACCAAACTCTTTTAATTAGTTTCTTAATGATCGTCTACCTGCTAAAACAAATTATTTTAATTTTACGTAGACAATTATTTAAGAAAGTATCGAATATAGAGATAGATCATACGATCGTTTTTAGTCTAATTTGTATTTGTCATTTATATTTTACTTAAGTCTTTGAAATTATCCCTTGCAATATTTTCATACCCAATACAATGTCACAGATTTGATCGATAATTATCCTGGATGCTAAAAGATTCTATCTAATGACATCATAAAAATAAAAGAGAAAATTTTGATTTGATCACAATAGATTTAAGGATCTCATCTTAGAAGAAAGTTAATAAAAATTGAATTTTTAATTGCTTTAAATTAAATTCTACTGAACAATTAATCGAATAATCAAACACTACAAAACATGGTAAATTAAGTCTAGGAATCTTTTTTATCAGTTTAATCACTATTAAATAGATTAATACATGTATATTTGATTAACATATTTCATTATGATAAATACAAAAACTATAAAAAGATAAAGGAAGAGAAATAAATGTATACCATATAAAGATTGCCTAATATAGATAAGAAATTTTAATGAAATGAAACTCTATCTTTATGATTGAAGAAATAAAAAATTAAATATTATAAATTAGTTATCGACAATTAGAAATTTTGACATTAAAATACGATTAATTCTAAATTTTGGTACAGAGATTATTCTTCAGTACAATTAAGTGCTTAAAATATTAATTACAAAAGTTGAAATTTTAATTGCAGATAATCATAAAATAATGTTGAAAAGATAGATATAAGTTAGAATAAGTTTTTGGATTAAAGTATGTTAGATCATGGATATAAAAAAGATAAGTGTTTGAAAATTCTTAAAATAGCATATATTTAAATGAATGCAAAATTTATTTTATGGGAAAATAATTGTAAAATAAAGATTTGGAAGATCAAGACTTTAAAAGTTGAAAAAGAAACGATTTCAGTAGTCAGCAGTGAAAATGTATGATGTATATCTATGACAATTAAAGTTTTATAATTTTAAAATTGCAATGAAAATATCATTGTTTTAAGGGTGATTCAATTTGTTTTTCTTTCAATTATTTCCAATCTAATTTATCAAAATATTTGTGTTGCATGATTGATTCCAATTGTGTTAATCTTTCTTTAGGATTTCTTTTCAATAAATTCTCTATTAGATCTTACAATTCTGGTTTTATTTCTTTTGGAAATTCTTTTATATTTTACATTTTCTCCTTTATTAATTAATTGACATCTCTTTCATCATTTTCAAATGGATAAATATCAAATAGTAATTTGTATAACAATGCTCCTAATAACCACCAATCTCCACTTTGATCAAATATCATTTGCATTGCTTCTGGAGGAAATATACGTATTTCTTCATATGAATTAATTTTATAGAAAACAATCTTATTGCTTGAGAATCCAAAACCAATTAATCTTATATAACCATCTTCTGCAATTAAAATATGGGATGCATTCAAGGCACGATAAATGTAACCACTTTTATGAATTTCATTTAATGCCAAAACAATTTATGCTGCAATGAATTATAACTAATTGTCATTTAACTATTATTTATTCATATAAGACTCAAGATCATATAAACAATTCTCTAATTCAAAAATACACTTTTAAGGAGTGTTCTTATATTGTATTAATTTGCATATAAAAGGAAAGCGAACATTTAGTAAAATTTATTTTTACATTTCTAACATCTCTTAAGAAAAGAAGATGCTCTTGTTAATGTTCTTTATTACTACGAGTTTATCAAATCTTTAGCATCGTTCAATTCTATGATTTGAATCACTAATTAACTGTATGGTGTTATACTTACTTGCTGATCAGTGTAAACACATTCACTTTTTTCTAGCCGTTTTAGAGGCTTTTGGGTATAATGAAAAGAATTTTGATTTGATTTCTATTGTTATGAAATACCTAATTCTTCGTTTTCTTTCTATGAACAAAAATTTCCCATTTATTATATTAATAATTATTCATTTTTTATGTAAAAGAAATGATATAAATTTTATAATCATTTTTTAACGATCATTTATATCTCGGAATTTAGATTGATTATAATTTGTCTTCAGATTTAAATTAACAATCATATTGATTGATTCTATTTATATTAAAATTTCATACAATAAAGCTAATATATAAACCATTTTGATAAGAGAATCTTGAAATTCAATGTATTAATGTCTGTATAGTTATTTTATAATAAAATATTGATGTATTTTAATGTATATAAGAATGATTAAGAATAGTATGACATGATATAACGAATTGTATAATGGATGGTTTATCATAAGTAATTTGATATAATAATCTATCTCTTATTGATATTTCTGAACATATATTTAAAAGTATATAAATACTGATGAAATACGATGTACTGTTGAATACTGTAAATTTTGAATTAAAAAATATCTATAAATCCATCTATCGAATTATGGAATTTAGTTATATTAAATTAAACAAAACTAATGTCTATATAATAAGATATGATAGGAATGACAGACGATGGATCATCTACATATAGAGTAGAATTAGCTAAATACCCAATATTGAACCCTGTGGCTCCTCCTGTCTAATATGTGCAAATGAGTGATGCAAAAGAAGCTATAACAATTGTAAAAACAGAGTCAGAAACATCAAGAGAGGTTTTCTTAGTGGAGTACTATAAGAAAATACTAAGATAACACTTGATTATCTTAGGATTGTTCTTATTTGGTTTGATGGAGTGGTTTGCAAATATAGTAGTGGAGTTTAGTTACTATGATAATAGTTTCAGATGGACATTCTATGTATTTGTAGTAACACTAATCATAATGGCTTTAGGATTACCAATCACAAGATCAATAAGAGGAATAGTAAGATATTAATTACATACCTTTAGGTCAAATATTAGAACTGCATATTTAATGTTTAGACAGTATTAATAGGAATGGTACTTATTGGAATAGGAAATAAATGTAATAATAGACATTCAACAGCAACAATTTGGTGGATAATAATTACATTGTTAATTCTGATTGCACATAGCATAGCATAATTTATGCTTGTTAAACATAACATTACACATTATTACACAATGTTTATGAAGTTTGCTATAATGGGTTCAATCATATTAAATTTTATTGTTGGATTGTGTGCATCATAATTAGATAGTTCATTTCCTGTTGCTGAAGCTATCATAATCTATTCAATCTATTATTTCAATCAACTCAATGAACATTTACTCAAGAATCCTAATGATTTACCTGAAGATCTTTCTATTGTAGAAAGAATCTAAATTATTAATAAAATTTAAGCACTTTTCAATTAGGAAGCATAATCAAATTAAGTTATTGAATAAATCAAAGATACCCATTGTGTTATTAATAGATATCTTGCCATAGTCATTTCAAGTGTTGTGGCTTATATACTTATATTGATTCTTAGTATTATCACCGGAAATGCATTATTTATAGTCATAGTTGTTGTTGTTTCTATTTCACTCTTAAGTGTCTTACTCAACACATAAGTAGCATCAAGAGTATTTATTATCATTTATTCATAGACACTCTTATAAGAAGATGCTGCCTTTGCTGTCTGTCTAACCTATTTAGATCTAGCAAGTCCACTTAAGAATATTTTAAAAGGAATCATTTCTAAATGATGATGACTTCAATTTATCATAAATACATACAAAATTATCATTATTTTCATACAATTCTATCTACTTTACATTTATATTAATCTATCTACCTTTACAAAATAATTATTATGAATACTCATCAAAACATTTATTCTGTTTTATTCATTATTTATTTATACTATTGGAATATTATATCAATTATTTCTACATTTTTGTTACTCTCATTAACTTTTGATTATGTGTTTCTATTCAAAAGTTTATAATCTTTTTAATACTTTTATTTTAAACTCTAAAACAAAAAAAAGTATTTTTAGGCTGAAATAATAACTTTTTCCCCAAAATCTAAACTCATCAAAAGGTTTTCTAATGACCCTTAAATAATAGAAAATATTTATTACAGAATTTTACTCTATTTTGCTTTCCAACGCTAAATTGTTAATAATATTTAATTTATTTTCAATAAAAAAGAAGAAAATTAACTTTAATGATAACTAATAAAATCAATTACTTTTTTTTTCATTCAACATACTAATGGGTTTTAAGAGTATTATTTAATATAAAATTTGCCGTAATTTTAGTTTTTTTAAATCAATTTCTTTTTATAATTTTAATGATTCTTATCTTGTTTACCATCATAACCTACCTCGGAAATAAATTTTTAATATTAAAATAAAAATATATATGTTTGAAGTCAATCTAATAAGTATTATTTAGTTCGGCTTATTTTTCAATTCTTTATTTTTTAAATCTAAATTGTTCAATAAATATTTTTTATTGATATATTTAAAACTTAGAAATAAAGAATTGATTAGTTATTTAGATTATATTATGTAGACTCTCTAAATAACTCAGAATTTGTAGAATATGAATTATTTTTTTAATTATGGAATATTCCTTATTATTTGATTGTCTCAAATAGGCATCAGAATTGATTAGGCAATTTATTATTGATAGCATTTAAAGTTTTCAATAAAAACTAAAATTAAAATACTAAATGGGTTCGACATGTATCAAAATTTAAATTACAACTGATGATTTAATCTTAAGTTAAGAAAGTGCTCAAGAAATTCACATGAATATCTAATAATCAAAAGAACAAAAAAAAACTGAAGATTTATCTATATTTTCAGATGATGAAATTTAATTCACAAGTCATTCATTTGAAGAAATCAAAGTTGATTAAATATAATCAAATAACTCTAAGATCAAATAAATAGATTAGAGTTTAAAAATTAAAAGCATACTTAAAACATCTAGTCACTCTCAAATTGTACAATCTCCCAACATTAGAAAATCAGTCAGTTTTTGTTTCATCAATCCAGACCAATATAAACAAATGATAAATTGCAAATCAAACATCAGTCAAGCTCAACAAGAATTCTTAAATACTCTCTATGCATCTTAATGACTTTAATTTATAATGTATTTACTACTGTTTTAAACTCTAAACTTGGTAATTTACACTAAAACTAAACTATTATTTACAAATTTAGTTTCTAGATTGCTACGATATGATTGTATAATAATTTTATAAAAATTATATTTATTTTTCATGTTCTTTTGTTAATATTTTTCTTACTAAAGACTTAAAAGGGTTAATTAACTGTTTCAAATTCTTTATTGTCAGTATTTTCAGTAACTTCTTTTAATGTTTCTGTTACTTAATCAGTCTCTTTGAAATTAATCAAATGTGAATATTTTTTTGTTATCGGTATTTCTTCTTGATTTTTATTGTTTTTGCAATCCTTATTCTAACAGCAGTGACAATTTCCACAACCACTAAATCTTTAATAAACTTTTCCTAGCCTAAGAATAGTATTAGAAACTTTTTGCATTTTATTTATTAATATTTATTAATAATAATCATTATTGATAACTAAAGTCAATTTTCATATTAACATTTTATCACACTGACATAACTCAATGACATAAACCCAAATTTATTTATAAAAAATAATATGTAAAAATTAACATCTTTAATAGTATCTATTTTATATTAAAATAAGCAAATTTAGCGCAAAAATTTTTGTAGCATATTTTTCAAACCAAATGATTAGTTCTAAATAGACGATAGGAGTCTCCTTTGAATTACTAAAGAATGAGAAAGACCAGCAAGATGTCTGTTTGGCCCTCACTTGTGTCTTTTTTGTGAGAATTAGAAGGAAGAATGTTGATGATATTTTTATTTTTTTATTTATGAAAGTTTACTAAAAAATTGTTTCGTTATATCTTAATTATTGATCATTCATTCATAATCTTGTTTTTTTATTAAAGTAATATAATTAGCAATAATAAAAAAACTTAAAATTCAAATCTCCTAAACATCAATACAATTAACTATATTTATAAAAGTACTTTTATAAGATAGATAACCTCATACTGTTATCATAATTTATTTTCATCAATTTCTAATTTGATTAAGAGGAAAAAAATATCTTTTTTCCTTAAAATTAGATAATTATATATGGAGAAGATTGAATCTTTTTTTTTGAGAAGGTAATCTTTAAATAATAATACAAATTAATTCTTTTAATTAAAGTAATAGAATAAAAATATAAATATTTATCTCATATTAATAAACCATCTACTTATTAAATCCAAGAGCACCTATTTTCTTTAGCCAAAGACTCTAGAAAATTGATAGTTTCATAGTATAAGCTTTCAACTTAATAGTCTTTGTGATATATGGTTTTCTTAAGTTATTTTCTAGCATAAGATATTATTTTTAATCCTTTTTAGTAAAAAATTGAAAATTAAGAATTTTAAGTGTTTTTACAGAAGAATTTCATCAAGTAATATTTAGAATTTTAAAATTAAGATTGTTTTGGAATACTTTGTTTAATTAAGTTATAGGTGTTTTAAAAATGAATCTTTTTAAATTATTTAAATTAAATTTTATTTTCTTGAAGGAAAGATTCATCATTTGTTTAATTAGATTACTATTTGTTTAGTTAGATAAATTTTTATTCAAGTAATTTTTTACAATAAAATTTCTTTTAGTAATCTCCAATCCAAGAATTCAATTCTTCACAAATATTAACTTTTTTGATTAAAATATTGTTTTCAATAGATAATCCATAACATTATTCTTTATTCAATTCATTTGGCTGAAGTAGAAAGATTGTAAAATCTGAATATTCATTTATTATATTTCCTATAAAAGTAATTGCGTCTTCTTCGCATTTGTTACATTCTATATTGAATAACAATTTATATATAAACTACTTCTCTTATAACTTCTGAACTGCAGAGAAGAACATTGTGGATTATTTCTCAAGAATCATTTGTAATTCTATCACAAATTTTAATATTTAAAATTTTGCTACTTCAAAAATTACAACGAAATATAATGGATATGAATAAATTAATAATCAATATGTTCAAAATAAACAGGAGTAATGATAATAAAGAGGTATCTTAACAAATACTATTAAAAAACTAGTTATAATCTATTTTTTTCTTGAGATTCTTCCATTTAATTTTACTATTCACTAATAAAAAATGAGAATTGGAATAGATATAAAAAAATTTAGATTTTGATTGTAAAATTAAGATATCCTTTACATAAAAATTTATTTATTTATTTATTTATTCTATTAGAATAATGAATAAGGAATAATTTGTTTAAGTTAATAAAGAAAAAACAGTAATAAAAAAAAATAAATCAACCCATTCAAGAAATATCTTTATCTTTTTGCAATTACATATGCTTTACAATTTCTCTTTTTAAATTTACACTCTCTTTTAATGTTATCATAATTAAATTTGAAATTTCCTAGTTTTAATAGAGTTAATTGTATACTTTGATTTCATGTTAGAAATGTAACCCATATTGAGATGCAAAACTATTCCAGTTAATTGATATATTTAACATGATGGCACTTGTAAAAAGTGAAGCACATGCAATTTTGGATGGTTCATATTTAATAATATTAATATTATAAACAGCCACATCTAAAAGTAATAAGGAATATGAGAGCCAATTGTTGGTTTTTTCAACTATATTGATAATGGTCCAATAATAATTGAGCCAAACATAAGAGGATGCTGTAACTAATTTAAAATCTAGGATAGATAATAACTCTTTTTCCATTTAAAATATTTCTTGCATTTCATCTCTATCATGTGCATAACGCCATAATGGACTTGGATAAATCTATAAAATGAGAATAAAAATACTTCTTCATATTTGGAAGCAATAAAATAACATGTTTTATATATAGACTCGATTTGAGCGGTAAATATTCTATTTGTACTTAAATAAACATCTAGTAAATAAATAGTTTAATGAAAAGTTCTTCTCTAAGCTTTATGTGTAGTGCATAGTTTATGAACTTCGTCTATCTTATGGATATTATACATAATGAATACCATTTATGCTCTCATTTCTGGATTGAGATCAGATTAGATATCTAAAAAATAATTTGGATTTAGAAAAGACATGTTGACATTCTAAAATGATTAAAACGCAATATTAACCTGTTGTGTTTAAAGAGTGAAAAAGATTTACTTGATGTATAGTAAAACTTATTATGGATCATGAGTGTGTTTTGATTCTTTTCTCTTGAATGAGTTAGGTTGATTAACATAGTAATTAGACCGATCTGTAAATGGTCTTATCATTTTTTAGATGTACTCCATTAAATAATTTAATGATTAATAAAGCAGCAAACAATAAACTTGGTTATTTGCTTTAAAATATTATATTTGACTTTAAAAATATTACTATTATAAAATTTAAAACCTCAAATTTATTATATGTTCATTCATTTTATATCTGAAAATCAATTTGGATTTGTCATCATATTTTATTTTAAAATTGTGTTAAAATAAAAATATTCAGATCAAAGTGTTATTTTTGTAAAGAGAGCATTTTCTTATTATTATTCTATTTAAGTTTATATTAATTAATCATACTCGGAGACTTGGTCAATTTAATCTTAGGAGAATACAAAAATGAATTATTTTAGATTGTGATAGGATTAGGAATGTATTAAATTAAATATTGAATAATTATCTTTATTTATATATTTTAAATTTTAACTAAGACAAAACTTGATTAGATAAATATAGAAAGAGAATAAGTTTGAAGTAAGTTGAGTTATTCAAGAATAATTGTAAAAATATGAATGTTTTTACTCATAATAAAAAAATAAGGAATATAAATATAATAGTAAAAAATAAGAGTCTAAAATATTAAACAGGATTGAATTTGGAACAAAAGTATAAAAAATAATAATTGAATGAAGAAAAGATATATAAATAATTAATGTAAATAATAATAATTCTAAATCAATTAGGTAAAGGAATACCATAAATGAAATTATTGATCATTACAAGAGCAGGTAATGGTTAATCCATTGGTACCATATGTCCGGCATTTCTGATTGTAACAAACCATAAACCATCTAAAACCCATACATTTCCTGCATTTTGATCTTCTCCACTTTTATTTCCTGGAATAGTCCAAGCTCTCCAAGGTTCAATTGTATGTAAACCTATATTAAATATAAATACAAATAAAACCTAATTCGTTTTATAAATTATTCAACCAAAAGAATGTTCCAGTAATAGGCACAACTCCATCTACATCTCCACTAAATTTAAGTATTCTAATGCCACTCTTAATTAATTTAGGATATAAATAATATGTTGCTCTTGGATCCTTTGTGTATTTGATTGTACTACTACAATCTTCCCATTCCTTGTTAAGTTTAGAAGTATCAATATTAATGGCTTTTATGAATTCTGGATTTGTAAAATAATAAAATAATCCTTATGCTTCTGAACAAGATGGAACTGTTCCTGGTTCTCTTTCAAAAGGATCAAGTGTCATTTTAGATCTTTTAATTGTTTCACCATTGAATTTTGTTATTGGATTTAAATAACATTTTCCATAGATATTATAAGGATTATAATAAAATTCACTATTATTATAGAATTACTGCTTACTAACTCAAATTGATCTCTTCTTAAGTTCTTCCATAAAGATCTTTACAATATTAAGTTGTAGAATTAAAACAATTATCTCTTTATGAATCTATCTCTTCCCATAATTTTTCACTTATTAAATGATGACTATGCATAAATTCAAATTTATGAATTGGAAATCTCTTTGCCTCTATTGTACATTCTGTATAATCTGTACAACCATTCCCAATCATTAAACCAACTAAATTTATTCTCTTTGTTGCTACTTTATTATATTCTATGATTTCATTCGCTAATAATGGTATATATGTTCCAGCATAACTCTCTCCGCTTATATAAAATTCATGAGTGCTAAGTTCAGGAAACTTTTTAAAAAATTCAATCACTGCTTATAAATTATCTTTAGCTGAACTTGCGTCACTTGTGTGCTCATCACCATATGAAAATCCAACTGTTGCTGGAGATTCCAAATAAAACATATGTGCCTACATATTCAATATCATATCTATACAGTATTTGTCCATGAATATGCATTCACTCTTAAATCATTTGTACCCAAATTAAATACAAAAGGACCATTCTCATTTAATGCTCCATATAAAGAAGAACATCCTGGGCCTCCATTCAACCATAATATTACTGGACTATCATCACTCATATTTTGATATTATTGAGGAAACATGAAATAATGAAATTATTTACTCCCATCGTCATTTATCTTTAAATATCCTGAAAACCTTTTATTTTTATACTTTTTTCATATACCATTATCCAGAATAAGGAATCTTGAACCTAGCATAATCTTTCACCAAATCTTCTGTTGGAAAACAATGTATCACAACAATACTCAATAATAGATACAAGTTCATTTGATGTAATTTTATTTTAATAATAACTTAAACTCATATAATTTCCAAAAAATCCTTTTAAACTCATCACCAATATCGATATATTGATTATTACTATATTTTACATAATTTTCATTCATATTTTAATACTAAATATCAAACCTATTATTGTTTCCATCAATTCAATGAATTTATTACATCACATTTTCAATTTTAATTAATATTTATTCCATATATAATAATCATAACAATGTTTGCATCGATGAACAACCTTTCATTTTGATGCTTTGCTATCTCTTCAGTATTCTAGCCTATATTATGTCTGCTTATTAATTTAAATCCTGTCTAACCTTTTAATCTGTACTTGTAGTGTTTGCTGTGAAATCGGTCACCATTGTATTCAGTATTTCAGCTATGATGAATATGATTACATTTTTACAGTGTTAATCTGCAGCTTCATGAAGCTTAATTTATAGTGTGACTTATTTAGATCTAAGTTTCTTATCCACGACTTATTAATCAGATAATAAAGGCGGGGGAAGATCTGAAATTGAGGATCTCTTAATTGGACTAATTGTCTTAGATGATTCTATTTCAGATTTAGAATTGATAATGAGCATTAGTGTTTTGGTTTCACTCAAAGCTTATTGAATCTTATCCAAAAAATAATATTTGATTGGATCTTGTATATTATCAAAATATTCCACACACTTTCTATTGAATAATATATATCAATTACCTATACATAGCCAAAGCCTATTGTACAGCATCAAGTTGTGGTTCTTTGATTATAGACTTCTCAATGGAAAGAAGATTATAGTAGAATTGCTTATCAATGGTATTGCTTTGAATAGGAAGAGACTTTTCATTGTTAGATTACCTCATAATTTGTTAATTATAAATAATTTTAACATTTTTGATCATTCATTTTCTCTCATTTACTAAAAAAAGTTAAATTATTTTATAGTATGGTCATCTCATCTTTTTAGATTTTGTAAAGATCTTACAATTCTTTTCCAATAGGTTTAGAAATCTATTTATAAGTGGATAAGGCATTTTTGATGTGTTTAATCATAAATTATTTGACCAACATTTCATTTTCTTCACTAATTTTAGATAGGAATGAATTGAATTCCAGATTAGGATTGATGGAAAATTCTTGTTCTGTAAGAAAGTAAATTCTTAGATACCTAGTAATAGAGAGGAGTGAAATACTGCAATAGTTGAACATTAATTTTATTAGTGAACAGGATTTATCTTTCAATATTGGTGATTTCACTTTATCTAAGCCACTTTTATTTTTATTCAAATAGTTATTCAGTAAAATTAATGGCAGAGGTGAAATCTAAATCAATAGGCATTTCATTAAAAGGATTATCATCAACAATAATACCATGTCTCATTAATAAATCATGATTACTCAAATTACCATAATTGATGGTTAATTTCTAATGGGAATAAATAAAGATAATTACATCTCCAGGTTCAATAAGTTTTTTGGCTGTAAAATCGACGAAGCTCATATTTTCATGACTTAAATAGCAACCATCTAGATAACAATTAGGATCAAAGGAATGATCAAATTGGTAAACTAATGGAGATACTATCTAAACAGATTGCATATCAAAATATTTAGGTTTTCTAGATAGAAATTAATAATATTACTATGGATTGAAACATATTAACTAAGATCTGACTGCTTAGAATAACTTTAAGAAATCAAGTGCACTTAATCCATAAACTTTACTCAATTGTAATTCATTATACATTGATTAACATTATAGAAGTGTACCTTCAATAAGATTAGCCAGATTCCTAGAGGAAATAAGATCAATCACAGTTTGAGGCCATAATAAAGGAGTGTTAGGAGGTTGAATCATATTTGCAAATGGAGAGTGTGTTAATGATTAGTCTTTTTGATGCACGAATATTTGCATAATAATTTTAAGTAATCCTGTGACCAAATATTATTATTCCACTTTTTCACCACATATTTTGTGAGCGATTTACGATGCTATGGTCTAATTGATTTGCAACTACATACCTGAAGTTCTTATTATTTCCTAGTATCACAACCTACAAATTCTACACTTGTAAAACATTTCTCAGTTGAAATAAGCATAATCTATTGATTAGCCTTAATTTGTTAAGCTGCATACATCCCACCTCTAAAATCAATGGATTGCATCACTCTTAAATAAGAAGGAGGCATTCTCAACCATTTCAAATACTATTATCCCAACAAACTACCATAACTTGATGTCAGTCCAGCTATTAATTTCTCTTGCATTTATTAATAATTTAATTAAATTCCTTATATATATATATATATTTATATATATTATTTATAAAATTCATGTATATACAATTTATTCATAAATACCAATACATTTCTTAATATTTACATAATATATCTGAAATATATTTATTACAACCTAATTCGTTTATATTTATACTTTACACGTTCATCTTTCTCTCATTCTTATTTAAATTTCTCTCTATCCCAATTGCTAAATCTTCATCTCATTCTCTTAACGTACTTTCCATTCACATTTCCATACTTCTAATCTAATCAACCTCTATTTCACTTATTCTTCTCCTTCTCTTTAAACCTCATCTTTATTTTCCTCACTCTCTCTTAATTAATTCCTCAATTCATAATTGTATAATTGTTTCAACTCCCCAATCTACAATCATGCATATTTTCAAAGATCATGAGTTTACAAATTGCTATATGAATATATATGAGAATTAATAATCAATTAAAATGTGAGTGGACCCTATACACAAACTGTGATAACAAATCTGTTATTTCTGGAAAAAAGTTTAATTCATCTATCATTTAAGTTAGATCACTACATTCCACTCTCTCACCCTCTCTCTTGTAATTCAATCTTCTATACTCACTAATTATTCATTAATACATTAACATACCTTCCTAATATCTAATCCCATCGAAATCTAAGGTATTTATAATATCTATTCTTTATTGCATTTTAGTTCCTGTCTGTAAAGAATTTTGCTATATCTCCAAACTTTGGACCATACTCTAACACCAGACTTAGAATTTTCTTGTCTTCCTCAAAGTTGAATGGATTGTTATTATTCATCTCTGTCATTTTAGTATTTCTTCTCTTCTTTTTGTAATGAAATTCCACTCGCTTCTTCTTCTTTATCTTCTTACCTTATTGTTTTAAGGAACAAACATCTTAATCCACTATTTGTGTTAAAGAAGGATTCTCCTAATTCAAGTTAAATAACAAAGAAGAGTTTTCATCATGACATTCCAAATCCTTCTCTAATTACAAGAAGTTGATGTAATTTTATTACTCTGCACAATCTTACATTAAATTTAATATGAAATTAGCTCTTTACTGCATAGGCATTTATATTATCGAAAAATTATAAAATCTTTTTTTATTTGCATATATTAATACAGTCTTTAATATTAATTCTAAATTAATTCAATATCGTTCAGTTGGTAAAGATATAATTTCTCGTTTAATTGGTATTTAATAACTTTCTGCTATTAAGTATTTTATTCCATATATACCAAATTTATTTCTAAATATTAATCTCTCCCCTCATTTCAATAACTTTTATTCTCTAAACCTTCATCATTTATCCAATTCAATAAATATTTTACTACACATCTTCTATTTACACACGTATTTTACAATAATTGAACATTATATAAAAACAAACAAATAATCATATTACAATAATAAGCTATAGCATTATTTCATTCAGGTTCTATCCAAGTTTCAATTCTTTTGTCTAATTTTCTTATTTGAATACCTAAGATTTTTCTTATATTTAGAATATATAACTTTTATTATTTAAAATTATTTAAAATTTATTCGGTATTTTTCCTTTCCAAACTCTAAATTTATATTTCCATTAGAAATATTAAATATCAGAAGAAAATTTTCCATTTTGAAAAACAATATTATAAGACACAAGAATATACTATTAAGTTTATTCCTTAATTTAATCCAAATTATAAAAAATTATTTAAATCATAAATTTCTTTTTTCAATTACTTTAGATTAGACATCTTAGATAAATGATATTTAGAATGAATTGAATGCATTGTGAGTAATTTTTAAATTTCTAGAAAAATGAATTTAATTATTTAAATTTATATTGTATATAAATTTTAAAATAAAAAACAATAATCTCTTTGTTTCACAAATTTGTCATGCATTCATAATATATAGAGGAGCAAATAATATTGTTTTGAGTATTGCTTTCAATATAGATAAAAAAAGGCCTACAGATAAAGATAAAAGTTTAGCGATGGAGATTTGCTATATTATTGTTATAATTTGTGAATAAAGAGTTTATGTTAAGAATTGAGGAGAGTAATAAGAAATAATATATATAATTAATTAATTATGAATTAAACTGCACCTGTTCTCACTACATAAAAAAGAAGTTACTTATTAAATGCTTGTTTTTCATCTCTATTTGGAGGGCATGAATTAAATTTACCATCAAAGTTGTATATATTACATGTAGAAATAAATTTAAAGAGTAGGTGATTATAGAATTAGTAAGTATAATTCAAACTTACATAATTGGAAAATTAGTGGATAATTATGCTATTGTTTTGATAGTGCCTGCAAGCATCAATACGATACTTTAGATTAGCTTAAATTGTTTGATAAGCGAAGAGCATCGCAAGACGAGATCAGAAATTGGATAATTAATAGGAATATTGATTCCTTAAAGTATAGGAACTGCTTCAGCAATTAAATATGATGGGAATATTTTAGATGCAATAGTATTTTTTTTCTTGTTTCCTCGAGATTAATATATTGAATTAGGATTTACTTAAATGGAAAAATACTCTCGTTCCCGATATGCTTGTTTATTTTTGAAATTGATCTTGATATTGACTCATGTGAATAGAATGATAATAGCAAACATAATTAGATACATTTACTATTTCACACCGATTTTGATATGGATGGGTTTATATGGATAGTTTTCTTAATTGTATGTAATTTTGAGAATTGAATTAGTTTGGAATATGTAGGAGAGCAATTTAATTTTTTAATGGGATCATCATATTAATCAAGTTAGACACGTACATACTTGACAGTATTATTGAATGTTTTATTGATTGCAATTTGTTTGGGATTGTCATATATAGAAGAGAGTAGAATAGCAATAATTTTAAGTGGTTGTTTAATAAATATAAAATTATTCAATATATTTGGATCAATGCCATAAGATAAGAAACAAATTTATAAAAATAGTTATCTTGATAGAGCATATATGTACTTAAATTTATTAAGTTCATTATTGAATATTATTGCAATTATTTTATGTGGAATATTGGCTTAATCATATTATAGAGAATTATATTATGCAATAATTCCAATATATTTATGTTATGTAGTATTACAATTGAAATTTGAATGCTATGTAAAAAAGTTCAAAATGTTTCATACATTGATTGAATGCGCATGTATATCAATGATGGATTATAAATTTGAAGGTATTTTTGCTTAAAGATTATTTGAATGTTCTACAATAGTAAGATTGTATAGTCTTATCCATTCAAATCCGAATTATTTATTTTTTGAATAATTAGTTTGTTTTATAGTTTCATTGAATACGGATTATTCAATGAGTTAATGTTAATTGATTGGATTTTTGGTGTAAGTGTGTTTGAGATTCTTAATAAGAATGAAATCTCGATTGTTAATATGGATAATAGCAAAGTAAAGATAATTATAAGTAGATTAGTTAAAAGATGTTGACAGTAAAGAAATAGAAGGTAGAAGGTGCAGCATTTATAACAACTCTATAATTAGTAATGTGTCCATTAACATTCTTAATAATGATTATATCAAGTATTTTGGATAGTCCATACATGCCATTTTTAGGATTACCAATATTTCATTTTGGATCTTTGAGGCCATTTAGAAATGTAACTTAAATTAGTAAACAGATAACAAGTTCATCAGAAGGATCTATTTACAATTCTTATTTGAGTAAAGCATATGATAAATTACTATGTTCTGAACCCTTATGGAGTCATTATTTGATAAGGATAGGAAAATATATAGGAATAATTTAATTATTGGAATATTAGGGAGGATATGCAGTAATATAATTTAAGGGTTTAGAATCATAGGAGACAACAAGTTGTCATGGAATTGAAGCTAGAGAAGTTGATAGATTAGTAAATGTTAAAGATTGGGGATCATTTTGTGGAAGTGCTCTTACATATTAAAATGAATTCTCAGTATAGAGTTATGAAGAAAATTAAATTATTTTAACAGGAATTATTGAAGCAACAGAATTTGTTAGTGGATTTAAGAAGATATATTTAAAAATGTTATGCTTTTATGCTTAAGAATTAAAAGAGAATAATTAAAAATCAATTTTAGAATTATCTAAAAGATATGATGGAAATGAACATTAATTTCCAAATTCATTTGGTGAATTAATCAAATTATCAAATAAATTTTAATAATTCAAAGATGAGTAGACAAATCAATAAATAAATTAATAAACAGAAATGAAAATATAAGTTAGACCCCAAGTTAAAGTTTAAATTAAACATGATGAAGATGATATAATGGGAATGTTAGATGATTTATCAAAAGATATTCCTTAATAAACAAAGAAATTACATTAATAGAGTAATTCATCAAACAAGAGTGGAAATGGAGAATTCTATATACATGTTTAGAGAGCAATCTTATATATTTATTAGATTTCATTAGGGGATTTAGATTTCAATTTTGAGAGTAGATTGAATTAGAAGGGATTATTTACATTATTTTAAAGTTCAAAGTGTTTTTCTGAATAAAGATAAATGAATGGAATTGATTAAATATTATCAGAAATTGCTACGAAAGCAATAAGAAGTGCATTAAAATTAAGTTTAGATTTTTATTCAATAGAGGGTCATTTAATGATGAATGATTCTGAAGTCTTATAAGAATTAAATGGAATGAATGAATGTTATGTTGGAATGGGTAATGAGGAGGGTTGGTAATAAGCAATGTAAAGTAATTTATTATTATGGACATTGGGATATGATGGTGGTAAGAATAAATTGACAGTCTATCGACATACATATACATAAATATAATGTTAAATATTTAGATTTGATAGTGAAGTCATAAGAGGTATTGAAGCTAATCTGTAAATGGAATTACTCTTTGCTACAAATAATGATGAAGAACGGTATTATGAATAATATAATTATTGTAGATATTCTATTCAAACCCATGAATAGTTTTTTAGGAATATGATCATTGAAGGATCTGAATTACCTTTAGGATATGCTCCATTTTATTCTGGACCAATAATTCTTAGTTTAAGATGATAAATATATATATAGATTCTTATTAATATTTTATATTTATTATGTATTAACAAAACTAAATTATGTATTAATAATAGCAACCCCCTCCATAACAATAACATCGTGATTATAATATTCCACCACCTGGTAAATAATTACATATATCCAAGGTTATCGTGCTCCCCGTTATCCAAGAGAAGAGTTGCCTGAGAATCAAGAATAAAATCTAGATTTAGGAGGTGCCTATTAATCTTATATATATAATTGTGGAGAGTGTTGTGGTAATTGTAAAGCTGTCTGTCCTTGTAATCCTTTTGTTGAATATCCATATGTCTAAGTTGAATAAAGCTTTGTTGGTGTCTATCTACGTTTTGGAAAATATATTAAGACAGGTAATCTTTTTTATATATCAATTTAAGTTCAACCTGGGTTAATTTACATCAATCCTTGCACTGATACAATTTAAAAAGTTGATTGTAAAGTTCAAATGATTGACTGTCCAAGATAATAAGTTATGACTAAAGACAATATTTTAGTCAGCATTGATGCAACTGTTTATTATAGAATAGTTATGCCAAGACGATCCATATTTTATATCAATGATTTACATCAAGCTGTTTCATAATTGACTCTTGCTACAATTAAAAGCATTGCAGGATCTCATACTTTATAAGATTTATTGGAAAAAAGAGCAGAAGTTCAAAAACAAATTGAATCCTTTGTAGATGAACATGTTTGGGAATGGGGTATTGATATTGAGAACATGTTAATTAAAGATATTCAATTAAATCCTGATTTATAGAACACCTTATCTATGGCAGCTAAAGAATAAAGAGCAGCTTAAGCTAAAGTCATTTCAGCATAAGGAGATGTTTAATCAGCTAAACTTATGAAATAAGCTGCAGAACTATTAGATTCAAAAGCAGCTATGTAAATTAGATATCTAGATACAATCACTACATTAGGATAACAAGGATCCACTAAAGTAGTATTGCTTCCAACTGAATCTAAATGATCATGATAATATATAAAAATTATTCTATATAAATTAAGTTCAACTTATTTATTAAAAAAACTTTGAGCCCTTCTTCTATAACACAATGGACATATTGTATTCAAAGAGATTAATAATTGTTCTTCATCAGTATGTTCAAGTAATAGTTATTTAATACTAATGAGCTAAAAGAAGAAACAATAAAATTTAGCTATCTAATTACATTGGAAATGTAATATGAGGTTTAACAAAGAAGATTATTAAGATCTAAAAATGTGTTATGAGAATGATATCTAAACTTATTGTTTCTCAAATAATTTTTATAATATAGATTTCTGATGGAAAAAACAAAAATAATATTAAATAAATAAGACATTTCGCATTTCGTATATATACTTAAAAGAATGCTTATATAATTTTTTTTCTTATTGTTTCGTGCTTGGAACTCTAATAACAGAAAATTGAAAAGATTTAAGGAATAATGATATTATATAATTTGATTGTTTTTTTTAAATATTTAATAGAAGAATGAAGCAAGAGTTTGGATGAATATTTTTTAAATAATATATTATAGAATAGTTATGGAATTCAGATGTGACAATAATTGAAGAAGTGGAAAAGATATTAATATTTAATAAAGTATTATATTGTGGGATTGTTATATATATATTAATTTATTTTTTTGAAATAAAAGATTGTGATTTGATAATTTATTTTAAATAGTGAAAATTAAAGGAATGTTGCGAGGTTGTCTTAGGAAGGGAATTTAGAGTTATTCATCAATTAGAGAGAGAATAAATTAAGAGAGAGCTGAGAGATTGAAGAATTTACCAACAACAACTTAAGAGAAGATTAGAAATTTTGGAATAATTGCTCATATAGATGCAGGGAAAACAACAACAACAGAGAGAATGTTATTTTATGCAGGAGCAATTCCATTTCCAGGTGAAGTACATGATGGTACAACAACAATGGATTTTATGCCTCAAGAGAGATAAAGAGGGATAACAATTAGATCTGCTGCAATATCATTTAATTGGGCAAATCATTAATATAATTTGATTGATACACCTGGTCATATAGATTTTACGGCAGAAGTAGAAAGATCTCTTAGAGTGTTAGGTACAATTGATAATAAGTAATATTTACAGATGGAGCTATAGCAATATTTGATGGAGTATCTGGTGTATAAACATAATCAGAGACAGTATGGTTATAGGCAAATAAATTTAATATTCCAAAGATTGCATTTGTTAATAAAATGGATAGATAGGGAGCATCATTAGAATATACATTATAATCAATGAGAGATAGATTGAATATAAAACCATTCATGTAGAGAATATTAATAAATAATTATAGAATGTAAATACCAGTAGGAGAGATTGACCATTTCAATTCAGTAATAGATTTATTGACATTGAAAGAGATTGTATGGTTAGATAAGTATGGATCAGAAGTAGAATTTAGAGATATCGATAAATCACATCGTTATTATGATAAAGCTATTAAAGCACGCGATGATCTATTAACATCAGTATCTGAATATGATGAAAAAATAGCTGAACTCTATTTAGAGGATTCAAACGAATTACTTAATTAAAAACTATTATTATAATCAATAAGAGAAATCATTAATAAACATTACAATTAATGTTGTCCTATCTATTTTGGATCTGCTCTTAAGAATAGAGGTATTTAACCAATACTTGATGCTGTACATTAATTATTACCAGGACCAAGTGAAAGACCTTTAATTTTTGATATTAATAATCCAAAAAATAAAAGGAAATTAGAAAAGAGTGAAAAATTAACTGCTTTTATATATAAAGTTTTATAAGATTAAGATTTGGGATTATTAGGATTCACTAGAATTTATTCTGGGGAAATGATTTAAAAATAAAATTATACAAATAGCACAAAAGATGAATTAATTAAAGTTGGAAATCTCTTTAGAGTCAGAGCTAATAGATATGTTCCAATTAATAGTGTTTAAGCAGGTGATATTATTGCAATCTAATCTAAATAAGTTAATGCTGGTTCTACTATTATCGGATCTAATGATGAAAGGTATTATTACTATATATAAATCATTTATTTAGGTTTGTATTATAACAATTATAATTACCTTAATGTGTTTTCTTTGCTAATTTAGAATATGAATCAGCAAAAGACAAACTTAAATTAGATTAAGCTTTGTAATAGTTATAATTAGAGGATGAAAGTCTCAAAATTACTGTAACTGATGAAACTCTTATTACTATTGGAGGATAAGGAGAATTACATTTAGAAATTGTTGTCTAAAGATTAAAAGAAGATTTTGGTTTAAATACTAAACTCAAAAAAATGCAAGTCGAATATAAAGAAAGCATCAGTGAAGAAGGTGTCTTAGAACTTAAATATTAAGATATTCTTAAAGGAAGACCTTTATGGTTTAAATTAAAATTAAAATTACAGCCAACAGAATCATAAGAGAATGAAGTCATATTTGATTTTGATAGAGAAAATGATTTCGATTTACTTTATAAATAATTCAAAGAATCATAACTTAGATAAATGACTAATCAAAAAAATGAAACATCAGTTAAATATATTAAGAATCCATGTAAAAACATAGAAATAGAAACAATAAATGATGATTATGGAGAAGAAAAAGCTTATCATATATCTTCATTACAATTTCAAATGTTTTATCATCTTGAAAAGTCTATTTTGGCATCACTAAATAGAGGTTTCTTAAAATCATATCAAATGCATGGTGTTAAAGCAACTATATTAGATGGAGCTTTTTCACTTAAAAGAACTAATGACTTAGCTATTGGAAGAGCAGTCTAAAAACTTATGTAAGATATCCATCCAATACTTAAAGTATAATATCTATTTAATCTAGCCAATCATTCTTGAGCCTATTATGGATCTTGAGATCTCTTGTCCTAATTCTTTATAATAAAAAATTATTAATGATTTGATCTCACAAAGAAGAGGAAAAATCATTGAAATTAAATAAGACTAAAATAGACTTGGATCATAAAATAGTAATCGAGTTATCATTACTGCCACCATTCCATCATAAGAAACCATTGGCTATTCTACTGCCATTAGATCTATATCTCAAGGAGAAGCTTACTTCTCTATGAGTTTCAAAAACTATGAATTTGTAGGCGGACAAAAGTAAAGTGAACTTATCTCTGAGGCCTTTTGAAAATTTAGCTTTTTATATATATTTCATCCATTTTATTGTTTATTTAAACTATATAATCTTATTTTTTAGAATATTATATATTTCTTATTAAATTATCTTATTTTTTAGAATATTATATATTTCTTATTAAATTATCTTATTCTTTAGAATATTATATATTTCTTATTAAATTATCTTATTCTTTAGAATATTATATATTTCTTATTTAAATACTCATTTTCAAAATAAAAATTATGAATATATATCCTCATTATATTCTTATTCTAAATTTTCCACACTTTCCTTACTTTCCTTACTTTCTATTTACCCAACCTAAACATTCATATACTCATAAGCTCTATTTATATATAATCAAATTTACTGTCCCAATATTACATCCCACTTATAACGTAAAGTCTTATAATATCTATTCTTAACCATATTCAAAGTCCTTCCTGGAAAACTCTTAGCTATTTTGAAAAACTTTGGACCCTATTCTAATACTTATAGAAGTATTTATCTATCTTCTTAATAATTAAATGGTATTGCTTCATGCTTTCTATTCTAAATAATATATTCATCAAATATTCTTACAATTCTTTTAGAAGAGGCTCGTTTTTTTCTTTTATCATGGATAATTTGTCTTCTTCTTCTCTTTCTCGGTTTCTTCTATGGTACTTTTTATATTGGATTATAATAATCATTCTGAACTTCATTTTCATCAAAATTGAAAGTTTCATTACTCTCTACTACTTTCTATTAATCTAATACTTACTCAATTAAAGTTATTCGTGAACATCTTCTGATGAAATTTCTGTTTGTTAAAAGTAGGCTAACATAAAATTAGTTTATAGAAAGTCTAAGTTATTGTTAAAAACATTATTACTTTATTAGACTGCAAGAATATCCTTAGATTACATATATTTGAAGAAGTTGAGAGTAGAGATTTAGCTTATTTTAATAAATCAATATATGTTAAAAAACAAAATGATTTAAAAATGCTAAAAAAACGATTATGATAAATCTTAATAATTAATGAGGAATTTTTATTTTATTATGTAAATTCTTCATTAATTTTACTGCTCAGTAAAAATATTTTAGAATTATACCAATCTTTCTATAAATTCAAACAAATTGTTATATTGCACCTCAAACACAAGTTCACTCTAAAACTATTTTATTTATTCATCATTAATAGTGATATTAAATTATACTATATTACCTAATTATTCAGGAATTCTTTCATTATATTTTATTCCCACAAATATTTAATATTAATTTAACAATTTTAATAGAATTAGTATTCCATTTTTTAAAAAAAGTATTTTTGTTAAATTACAATCATAATATTAAATCTAGAAATTCTTTGAAGTGTTTACAAGTTTGATTTAATTGAAATTTAGTTTAATATTTTAAATTTAAATGAATATTAATGCTCAAAATGCTTATATTGAAGAATTAAACGATGCTTAGATCTAAGAAATCAAAGCATAAAGAAAAATATTTGGAGGAATTATCAAAAAAGGAGATCCGCTTTACAAAAACATCATTAACTTAATTTTATTTGCTTTTCTGTTGCCTTGCATGATTATTTTTGAATTAGCGATGGGAGTCAAAAATTTGCTTATTCGTTTTTTGGAATCCCTAATTACATTAAAGAATAGTATTGTTCATGCCTATAGGTGTTCAAAGGAATTTTTTATTTCAACTTACTATTTTCTCTCAAATTGGATTATTAAAATATGGTGCCGTTTAATCAATTAAATCAAATATGGCTTAACAACATGTTTAGCATATATTGCTTTGAAATTGTAACAAGTCAAAATGTTTATCATATTTTATTCTTAATTGTTCATAAAAAATTTCATTATTTTTCCAGAAAAATGGATAATATAGAAAGTAGTAATTTTAATCGAATTTAGCAGAAGCCTTTTAAATTAAATGAAAATGAAACTTTTACAATATACAAGATTCACAATAGATTAAATCAAATTTCTAATTATTAAGATAAAGTAAATCTCAATTATCATTTATAAAGCTATTATTTATCTGAAAGATTAATGCAATTAATTAGCATCTGCTTGTTGGTTTTATATTAAAAAAATATCTAGTTTATTTTATGAATGTATATTATACCCATTGGTATAGGTATATAAATTTACTACTTATTGTTTTTATTTGTTTATTCAATCATATCAAAGAATAATTAAATTATCTAATGTAGTACTAGATTATGCTTCTTTAATTTTAAACTATTTAAAAACAATATTTCTTTAACTTAAGGAATCTATAGAATTTTGCATTACATTTACAATAAATTTTGTAAAGTACATCAAAAATCAAATAATTTCTTACTGTTCATTGCTTCTGAATTAAGCGTCAATAAGGCTTTTACAATTTAAAAAATTTACAATCGCTTAAATCAAAGTATTTAATATTAAGATATAGTAAATCATAAATATTGTTTATAATGCTATAAAATCTTCCATAGTTTATATGAAAGATAAATTTAATTAATTCTGCTAATTTATATTAATTCCAATTTTAGGTAAAATTACTGATTTTTGCATTTATTTGTTTATTTAATCATATCAAAGAATAATTAAATTATCCAATTTAGTACTAGATTATGCTTCTTTAATTTTAAACTATTTAAAAACAATATTTCTTTAACTTAAGGAATCTATAGAATTTTGCATTACATTTACAATAAATTTTGTAAAGTACATCAAAAATCAAATAATTTCTTACTGTTCATTGCTTCTGAATTAAGCGTCAATAAGGCTTTTACAATTTAAAAAATTTACAATCGCTTAAATCAAAGTATTTAATATTAAGATATAGTAAATCATAAATATTGTTTATAATGCTATAAAATCTTCCATAGTTTATATGAAAGATAAATTTAATTAATTCTGCTAATTTATATTAATTCCAATTTTAGGTAAAATTACTGATTTTTGCATTTATTTGTTTATTTAATCATATCAAAGAATAATTAAATTATCCAATTTAGTACTAGATTATGCTTCTTTAATTTTAAACTATTTAAAAACAATATTTCTTTAACTTAAGGAATCTATAGAATTTTGCATTACATTTACAATAAATTTTGTAAAGTACATCAAAAATCAAATAATTTCTTACTGTTCATTGCTTCTGAATTAAGCGTCAATAAGGCTTTTACAATTTAAAAAATTTACAATCGCTTAAATCAAAGTATTTAATATTAAGATATAGTAAATCATAAATATTGTTTATAATGCTATAAAATCTTCCATAGTTTATATGAAAGATAAATTTAATTAATTCTGCTAATTTATATTAATTCCAATTTTAGGTAAAATTACTGATTTTTGCATTTATTTGTTTATTTAATCATATCAAAGAATAATTAAATTATCCAATTTAGTACTAGATTATGCTTCTTTAATTTTAAACTATTTAAAAACAATATTTCTTTAACTTAAGGAATCTATAGAATTTTGCATTACATTTACAATAAATTTTGTAAAGTACATCAAAAATCAAATAATTTCTTACTGTTCATTGCTTCTGAATTAAGCGTCAATAAGGCTTTTACAATTTAAAAAATTTACAATCGCTTAAATCAAAGTATTTAATATTAAGATATAGTAAATCATAAATATTGTTTATAATGCTATAAAATCTTCCATAGTTTATATGAAAGATAAATTTAATTAATTCTGCTAATTTATATTAATTCCAATTTTAGGTAAAATTACTGATTTTTGCATTTATTTGTTTATTTAATCATATCAAAGAATAATTAAATTATCCAATTTAGTACTAGATTATGCTTCTTTAATTTTAAACTATTTAAAAACAATATTTCTTTAACTTAAGGAATCTATAGAATTTTGCATTACATTTACAATAAATTTTGTAAAGTACATCAAAAATCAAATAATTTCTTACTGTTCATTGCTTCTGAATTAAGCGTCAATAAGGCTTTTACAATTTAAAAAATTTACAATCGCTTAAATCAAAGTATTTAATATTAAGATATAGTAAATCATAAATATTGTTTATAATGCTATAAAATCTTCCATAGTTTATATGAAAGATAAACTCAAAAAATTAATATCTAACTTTGAGTTTTTAATTAAAAAATTAACTGATTTTTTTATTGTATTGATCGAAAAAATTGCTTTTTGTTTTTGGAATGGAGAATCTTTCATTTTAAACTTTTTATAAACAATATTTCTTTAAATTTAGGAGTCTGTAAAGTTTTGTGTTAATTTAGTAATATATTATATAAAGTACTTCAAAAATATATTAATTTATCATTCATTTGCAATAATTGATTATTGTCTTGAAAAATATGAATAATTAAAACAAAATTTTATTTATCCTTTTTTACTGAAGATTAACGAGATTTACAATAAGATTAAGGATTTTATTATTTATTCAGGAAAGAAAACATTAAACACAATTAAATCAATTTGGATATTTTTTAAAGACAAAGTTCTAATAAAATTGAAAGTAATAATAGTGAATTATTGTTGCAGTACATTAAAACTATTTTTGCTTCTATGGAATGGAATAAAAAAGCTTTTCCTTAAAGTCAAATAATTATTTTATAAAATCAGAGCTTAATTTGCAAAGATATTTGAGAAGTTATATATTATAATGTAAAATATCCTATAAATAATTAAAATTTTGGCAAAGAAAATGTATTATTAAACTAATTACTTATGCAATAAAATTTATAATATAGCAAAGTATTGCATATTTAAAATTATGACGTTTATTATATTTGTCTAACATTAAATAAACTTAGGTGTTCAAATGTTTAAAGGTTTTATGCTATATTTATTTAAATTGATACTGAAATTAATAAAATAGATAGTAGAATTATAATGTAAGATCATTTTAAAATTCATTCTGGCATTAGAAATATTGAGTCCTATTTTTTGTTTGATAGATTAAATATTAGATATGGTTTATTTTATTTTTTCTGAACCCATTTTACTATTCAACAAAATAATTGAATAAGGAATAGATTTGTTTATTTATACAATTCTTAATAAGTTTTATATTGGTATAAAGTTACTTTCTGAAAAATTAATATAATTCCTCCTTAAACTGGAAAGATTTATAGGAATAATTATTAAATAAGCTAAAAAAATCACGAAGATAATATATTAAAAATTAATAAATCCTATTGTGAAAATAGTGATTTGTTATTATAAAGTTATAATGAAAGCATTAAAATTTATAGTCTAAGAATTAAAGAATCTTAAAGACATGATAAAATATAATTATATACTACCGATTAGGGCAAGCATAAGATTGTTTGGAGTTAAAATAAAAGAAAGTTTAATAAAAATAACATAATATGTTATATAAATAATGAAATATGGAGTTAATTAGTTAAAATTAGCATTAATATTTTTGAAAGACTAGATATCTGCTATAAAAAAATCAATAGCCAATCTTATAAACTAGTTCTTGTAGATTACTAAAAGAGTTATTTTTTAGTAGATTAAATTTGTTTATGGGATTTTGATTGATTCTTTAAAATAATTTAAGTAATAGATTATCTTAATGTTCAAATCCTTAAAAAAAATGATTTATAATTTCAATTAAGCTTTTAGAGAAATAACTGTAGCTCAATACAAAATAATACTAAGTTAATTTAAAATAATTTTAGCTTAATTAAAATTAATTAAAGAGACTATAAAGTCATTATTTAAGGAATATAAAAATTAGGTAAAGTAATCAATGATTGAATAGTTAAAAGCTATTAAAATAATTATTAAAGATCTTTATCATTAATAAAAATAGAGCTTAATTTAATTAAAAATGTAGATGATTTAATAAAAGGCTTAAATAAAGCAATTTGTTATTTAATAGAAATAAGCAACTGCTAATTAATTAAGAATAATTAAATAGAATATTAAAATGTAAAGTATTTAAGTAAAAGACAGTATTGTTATATTAAAAAATGATTTAAAATATTCATTTGTAACAATGTTTAAAAGAAATTGATGCTAATTAAAATGATCTATCTCTTTTTCATATTGATTTAAATAAATAAATTATTATTATTTTTTTTTCAAAGTATCTATAAAATTGATAATGAGGTATAAGATACAAATTTAGACCAATCATTTTTTTTATTTAATATCGTTGGTAATTTAAGAATCAAATTATAGTTTAAGTTTTTTAATTTTATCTTCTAATAACTTTTTATCAGCTTCTTTTTTGTTTTATAATCTTTATTTAATTAAGACTTCTAAATAAAATTTTCTAAGTTGAGAGTATAAGGCTTCTAATTCTTGATTTAAGACTAATTTAGATTAAGGAATGATTTCTTTTAATTATTTATCTAATTTATCATTAATTGAACTAGGGATAGGTAGAGCTTCATTAATCCATTTATTTCTCAAAAAGACAATATGTTATTGTGTTTTATTTTTGATATCTTCATTTTTGTTTCCAACTTCCAAAATAATTTATAATCTAGTTTCATCTATTTCCTATATATATGTATATTATAAAAAATTACATCTGTTTCTTAAGCACTACCTATACATCTAGTAATAGTACGATGTTCTTTTTCTTATTTTTTGATTTATAAGTCTAATTTTCTAAGATCTTCTTATATTTTTTTTTCGTTATCGCAAATGAGTTTTGTTCTTTTTAAATATTTATCCATTTCCATATTTCTAAATCTATCATATTCTTCATCATAAACATAATTATATAATTGATGTGATGAATGATTCCTTTTTTATAAGATTTCCCTCATAACACTATAATATCTATCTTTTAATTAATAGATATCCCTATTCTTATTGGGATATTGATATCTATCATGTAGAATGATAAAGTTATAATTAAAATGCCTTAATTCTTAAAATAAATATTTTGTTTCTTCATAATCCCAATTTTCATCAACCATAATATCATTTTCTGTAAATTCAATTATTTCAGGTTCAATATTAAACTTTTCACCTGGAAATAGTTTACCTTTTTCTTATTCAGGTACCCAAGCATTAATTCTTTTGATTAGTAAATTATTTAATAATATTTCTTCTTAAGCCCATTTTTAATGATTGAGTGTTTTTTATTAAGTAATGAGACCTACAGGATAGATTCCACCAGTTAAATTTAGTACTTCTTTATCTACATGAACATTAAGTTTTCTGATTTCTTTTTTATTCATATTTTAAAATATGATTATTTATATTGTTTGTATTTAAAATTATAATTATAATGTGAGCAATAAAAAAATTAAATTGAATTTTCACATTAGACCATGGATTTGTAAAGAAAACGAGTATGGAGCTACTAATATTCCAATTTTAGTTGAAGGAAATAAAAAGAGAAAAGAAGTATGCTAGAAAATGAAGGGTATATTTGGGGAAAATAAAGATCATATTAATAGATTGAAGTTTCTAGAATAATATAGAGTAAATAATATTTAAAGTAATAAATGACATTTTTACTTAAAAATAATGAATAAAACTTTATATATATATATATTATATAAATTTCATGTAGAACAATAATAATAAATAAGTTCGAGAATCTTGGAAAATGTCATTAATAAATAAATTTGGTTTAAGTGAGGTGATTGAACATAATCTCATTTTTTAACCTCCAAAACCAACTTATCAAATAAAAAATTGTTTAGAGACTAATGGCTTAGAATTTAGTATGTAATTGAATGACAATTGGATTAACTTAAACTAGTTTTGTAATATCTAATATAGAGTTTCCATCTTAAAACAAATAGATAATAATGTAGTTGTATCATATGTTCCTATAATCCATTATTCATGTAATTCAGATAAAGTTATTATACTTTCACATAGTAATGCCATGGATTTAGCCTATGCATCAAGATGGGGTGCTAAAATTTGTGAATTATACTAAGTTGATGTAATTTGTTATGATTACTCGGGATATGGAATTACTAAAAAAACTATGAAACCATCAGAGTATATTTCTTTATTAATAGATTTACCATTTCAAATGATCTCTCTAATGTTGTTGCTCTAGCTTAACATCAATATGATTACATATTCTTATGGGGATACTCTATTGGTTCTTATCCTACTGTTTAAGTTGCCACATAATTTTCACTTTCTGGAATCATTCTATAAGCTCCATTAGCTTCTTTAGGAAGAATTATAGATAATCGAAATTCATTCTACTCAGAATATGATAAGTTTTCCAATTAATCTATCATTAATCAAATCACTGCTCCAATCTTGATCTTTCATGGAACCAAAGATTCCATTATTAAAATTAATCATTCTGAATAATTATCTAAATCTTGCTAAAATTTATTTGCTTTCATTAGAGTAGAAGGAGCAAATCATAATGATATTGGATTAGCTGCAGATACAGAAAATTCAGAAGTTTATAAATAAATTAAAGAATTACTTAATCATTAAAACATACTTCCTATAAAGAAAGTCTTTGAATTATCTTTAAAATTTGATAACCTTATCATTCTTGATCAAATTGAAGAATAAACATTTTATAAAAGTGCTCTACCTATTTAAGAAAAAAAAGAAATCAAAAAACATAATGAAAAATAAGGTTGTTCATTGTTTTGTACAAAATTTTGAATTTCCTGAATTAATTTTATAAACATTATTTTTATGTATTTCTATTTAGAATATCATTTCTCTTGATTTTGAATAAATCCTTCATATAAATTTTATAATAATATTGAATCTCAATAAATAATTTACTACCTTTGTTAAACATAAATAGAAATTATTGCAAAAATGAAAAATGTGAATTAATCATTAATTATAATTTCTTTAAGTAATGAAATCAATCAATATAAAAGATTAGATTTTAAAAAATTTTTGGGTTTTAAATTCAAGAGATTCTATTCCTAAACACAAAATATTTAAACGTGATTTTACATTTTTAGCTTATAATTTCAATGTCTAAATCTTTTTAAATCTAAATTATTAATGAAGATGGAGATTTTAGATGATCTTTAGAAAAATTACAAAGATAGTAAACAGTAATCCAAATATGATGAATAGACAAATATAATATTTATTATAAAATGAATAATTCAAATTAAGGAGAGACTGCTATGTCTCGTTTTGATTTATGTAACAATAAATTTAAGATTTTAGTTATATAAGCATTTAAGTAATGGATGTTAACCATTATCAACGAAGCTTCAATAGGTCTTTATTAAATTTAATGCCATTTGAAGGATTCAATATTATATTTTCGAAAAGTAAAAGAGGAGGAAGAGAAATTAATAAAGAAATTATCAATAGTCAACACATAATAATAAAATACAATAGTAGAATTAAAAGAAATAGGAAATTTGAATAGAGAATGGGCACCTAAGATGTAGAAACTTCTTGATTAATTATAATAAAAGAATGATAAAAAGTGATGATTTATTTATTATATTAAACAATTAGAATAATAATCAACGATGATGATTGTGTTTTTTATTTTTATTATTAGTTAATTGTTATTATTCTTATTAATTATCATCTTAAAGTTTGACATCTTTTTTTTTATCATCATGTATTTTAGAATTCATTCCCTATGATTAATAGTAATAATGTATATTTACCATAAATAATTCGAAAGCAACAGCAAATGCAACTAAACTAATTCCAATCCATTATATTTAATTAACCATATGGTTATGTATCATAATTGATAAAAGCACAGTGAAAAACTTTCTAGTTGTAGTAACAACACTTAAAACTCTAGGGGAGAAACAACTAAATAATAATATGAATATATTATATACCTTATACAATAAAAGATAAACACTTATCCCAAAACTGAATAGATAGTAAGAAATACAATTTCTGGAACAACTTATGGATATTATTAAATGTATTAAAAGAATTAAATATACTTACCTTAAATAATAGTATAGAATATTGATCCAATAAAACTCCATAAACTAATATGAAATCCCATTTCCCATTGTTCTAATTTCTTGACTTTGAATTTGCTTTACAAAGTTGCAAGACATCCATCTGAAAATAATGAAATCATTAATAAGACAATGCCAAATAAAGATGAGCTTTTATTTGATGCACTACCTTCACTTACATTAAATATATATATTCCTATTGTAATAATCAAACCACATAGTATTTGTTATTTTGTGAATTTTTAATTTCCTAAAACTAATCCTACTACTAACACTGAAAGAATTCTATATAAATAATAATATGAATACTTACTTACAACTTTTAACAAGAGCTTAAAGTGGAAAACTTACATATTATAAGGCTGCTAATGCACCTATCATTGATGTAAAGTTTAGTAATCCTAAATAAGAACCTTCCTTTTTTGTACATACAAACTTTATTTTATTTCTGTAAATCATTGCCATACACAACAAATTGTAAAATAACATTTGCATAAATATTAAAACTGAAGAAAATTAAAATTTCGGAGATGGATCACCACCTATTGGACCAAAATTACTCTTAAATCTTAATAATTAAATCACAAAATTACAAGTGCTCTTAAATAAGTCCCACTTTAAAATAGCAGAAATAGATTCCACCTACAGCTATGAACAATTAAAATTCCTTTCTAACCATTTTGAAACGTGTTTATTTTTAATTTAAACTTATTTATAAATATATTAAATCCTAATTTATATCATATATTATAATCTCTTTCTATTTATCTAAATTCATATTGTATAACCATAATAACATCTATTGTTCAAAAAAATCAATTTATCTTTTCAATTCTTATAATCATTAATTTATACTCATATATTCATATGAAATCTAATCATCTTTATAAATCATATATTATAACTTATTGAATAAGCAATCAATGGAACTTTGTAATCTGGTTTCTTCATTAGAATAGCAAATTTATCATTCTCTTCTAATTTTATTGTTGTATTTTAAATTCTGTTTGCCCAAGTATCAGGTTAAATGAATTTGTCACATTCTTTAATATTTTCTTTTTTTCTATATAAAAATACTCCTAAACGACCTGTTATTTTCAAATAAAATTCATATTATATTTAATCAATAATATTTTTAGATATCTCCTTAAGATTGTCATCTAAAGAATAAAATACACTAACATAATATATATATATTAATTTTACTCTTATTATTCATTATTATCATCCTATTTAATTGTTTCTGGTTATTTATTATTTTAATCAATCTTTTTACATAAAATAGATGCATGATCTTATGAAATAGTGTTGATTTATTATATATCATCTTTAAGTAAAGAATAATCTTATCTTGATATTTTACATAGAACAATTTCATTTTAATTATCTTTGAAATGTATAGCATGTTTATTTTGTAAATTTACTCCATGTTTTCTAAACATATTTTTAGTGTGTTCATCAGATATAAGTTATAATAATATATATTTGTCTGATTTCTCATTAATACATATATCATCGATTTAAGTTAAAGTGGCTTGAATATTTGAAGGCGGTTTAGGAATCAATTATATTTATGGATTAGATTATTTAATTACATTTAAAGCTGTTGATAATGTAATCAATTATTGAATAGAATTACATTTCTCTTTAATTTATTCTACTTTATTATTGTAAGGAATCTAAAATTTAACACTATCTAATCTAATTATATATAAATTTATCATTAATTACATGCTCACTTCTTGAGGTAAATTCTTAAGCCAATCATATGTCTTTTATATTTCTTATTCTGCTTCTTTCAAAAATTGATTAGGACAATTAGAATCATCTAGTTATTTTAATGTATGACAGAAAACTTCTAAATTAATTCGTAATTTTTTAATTTCTTCACAATAATTATCTCTCGCTAATGATATATCTATCGCCAATTAAACAAGATTAAGTAAATCCATTAAATAAATAATATTGCCTCAATATTTTTGAATGGTTTATATATTTATTTTAATATTTGAATTTATTATAATTAATTAAGTAATAAGTAAGTTCAATTGAAAAACATATTAACTACAATATCACTTCATATCAATTTATAGTAGAATTCATCATTATTAAATGCTAGAATCTCTAATATCTCTTGGTAAATTGTATTTATTGATTCTTATAAATATATAATTTATGATTTCTAAATAAAGATCAAAATAATACTTTTGGAAATTGTTTAATATAATGTCTAAATTTGTATGCATTTTTCGAAAGATTTTTAGGATATTTATAGTTTTCCATATAATGACATTCTCTAGATTTCCTAGATCTGATTTCTGATAATTTATTACAAAGATTATCTAATCCAACTTAAATAAGATTGTTCTATTTAAATATTTTAACCTTCTTTAAAGCAATTTCATATTTCTAATCAAATTTAGTTTAAGTTGTCTATTAAAATAATTTAGTTAACTCTTAATATGGTTTTAAAGAGAAATGCATTATTATCCAACAAAGCAAGATAAATGAAATGTTATAAATGATATAGTATATCAATTAATTAGTTGCCTCACTAAGCAATTCAGATTTCAATTCTTCAGTATCATTGTCATTCTATTCCATGAATTTGTAATCTACAAATCTTAGATATATTTGAAAATGCTTACACAATTTAATAGAATCTGTTATGGATACCAAATCCTCTTATAAACAAATCTTATCCAAATAATTTGTTATATCTACAAAAGTTTTTGTATACAAATTAACAATTAGATTCTCCATTCTAATAAAGTATTTATTTCAAAACTTCTTTCCAATCTTAATTATCAAATCCTGTAATTGAGGTATCATTAAAAAATTTCATTTCTTATACAAAATTTACATCTGGATAAACATTTGAAATTAATATCCTTCCAGCCAAATCAACTAAATAAATATTCAATTAATCATAATTAATCTTAGGCTTAATTACTTAAAAATTGCTATCCAAAGCTATAACTCCCTCAAATTCTAATTAAGAATTTGTTAATGAAACTGTAAGTGTAAATTCAAATTCTTATGTTTCATAATTCCTGTATATTTCAGATACTACTTCCGATTGATTATTACTATTTAGAGTACCAATATGATCTTTATACCATTATCTTTATTTAGGTCGATACATTGGATATCTCATTTTCTATGGAATTATTGCAAAAAACTATCCCTCTCCTTTTTATGTTAAATATATTGTTGGCTCAAGTTCTTTATAACCAATTAACAACAATTATTCATTTAACATTTAAATCAAAATTATCAAATGTTAATCAATTTCGGTTTTTGGAATTTATGCAAAATCAATTTGATTTGCATAATAATAACAAAACTATGGTAAATAATATTAGAAAGGCTGCTATTCTCTTTCGTTGTAATCAACACAACTAAATGGCATATTCCCCAACAATTTATTTTATTACTAAAGCAAATACAAATTTTCATTATTAATTTTATTAAGCAGACTGAAGCCAAAATTAAAAGTTAAGAAGGTTTAGTATTCCAAATAAGTTGATTGTTTATAAAGAGCCTTCTGGTTAATATTTTATATCATTTATAATGAAACCTTCTCTATTACAGATTCAATTATTACTCTATTAATTACCTGAGCTATTGTTAAAAAGGTTATTATCACAGTAAATATTAAAAGTTAAATCACTAAAATTTAATTCTTCACTCTATATTTTCTCAAGCATAATAAAAACTTTGGAGTTCTAATTTAATTAAGAGAGAACATGATATTTTATATTTTTGATTAATATGCTATTTTATTTTCATACAATTTAAATCATTCATTAGTCATTAACTGCAATAAAAATAAGGCCTCAACAGTTGAATTATCATAAGCTTTTTCAATTTAATTCTCTATTTTAAATATAAATTTCAACAAGGACTTAATTAATACCATAAATTTTCAATTCATTGAACATGAATTAAATTAAAATTGAAGATAACTTCATATTTAAATTATTTTTTAGATATAATTTTATTTCCCATCAATAAAAAAAATACAAATACTTTATAGAAGTATTTTTATGTAGAAATATTTTATTTTAATATTCAATTATTGTATAAATTTCTCAATAATAACCTAAGAGAAATAGCCATATCAAGATAAGTCAAACAAACCGCAAATTTTGAATCTTCTTATTTTAAACTGTAATAGAAATATAAAATTTAATCATTACTCTTGAGGCAACTTATGTTTCTAGTATCACACCTAGTATTGAAATTGATCCTAAAATCAAGGTGAATATCAAAAAGCCATTTCCAGTAATAATACTTAATATTAATACTGTAAGATATCCAATTTCTGATACAATAGTAATTGTCAAATGTTTGCTGATTACAAATGAGTATCTTATAATTATTCAATTATTTGATTTTCTCTAACTTCCTAATTAAATTAATCAATCAAAACAAGTTATTTGATTTTATCAATAAGTGATAATTCCTCTGGTACTTCATGTGTCTATTTCAATAATTATTGATTCAATTAATTAAAATAAATGATAATAAATTCTGAAATTGCAAATCCATCATCAAGGTATCTATTTGATAATCCTAGTATAAAATTTAGAATAAATGATTCCATAATTGTAAATTTCATTAAAATAGTAATCTTTTATGTTCTAACAATAACAATCTGAATTAAATCAAGAACAATTAATATTGTTAAAACTAGAATGATCCAAAGATCTACTCTCCTACTAAATATATTTCCTCTTTAATAACCAGCTATACCTATCAAAAGAAAGGCTATCAACACTGTTTAGAAATAGAATAATTGAGTTTATTTAGAGACCTACTATATAAAAAACAATATGGATTACAATAAATCTATATTTTCTAATAATAGGAAGTCCTAATACTAAGACAATTAATAAGCTTAAAACCACAAACCAAGTCCATCTGAATTAACTTCCAATAATTATGTCAATCCAAGTAAAAATAATCCAAATATTATTGAATGTTGGATTAAGATATTTTTATAGTATTCAATTAGAAATCCTTATCTATCATTATTAGCATTTATTGCTACAATCTTCTCTGCTACTGCTTATTAAACATCATCCAATTGAATGTATTAAGCAGCTGGTATTACATTACTTAATATTATTGGGTATTGAACTTTTGATATTTAACTCAATAACGAAGGAGTCTATTGATTGTAAATTGGTAATTCTTATTCTTTTGACATTCTCTTATTTTATTTAAATATTTAATTTTTCAGAATACAAAAGTGTTAATAAACTTAAATCTTAAATTTTAAAGAATTTCAAAATATCTATTTATCAGAATTTATTGAGAAAACTAGAATATTTATAATCTATCATATATTGGATAAATTATAAATATATGTAGAAGCAAATTTGTTTTATTAAATTTTGATATATTGAGAAAAATTTAATAAATTTTTTTCAACTTTAATAATAAAAATAATTATGAAAAATTAACAAAAAACAATTAATTTCTAATTATATTTCAAATATGAAAAATGTATTAATTTTAGTCAATTATTTTAATATTTTGAAAGTCCATTCTAATAGCTCAATATTTAGCATCCAATTAACATCCTATAATAGGCTGTTTTATATATTAGATTCTTAAAAAATTATAATATTATAATCCAATGAAAGGAATTATTACTTCCATTATTAAATATTGAAAAAAAACAAGCTTCTCATAAAAGCAATGAATTAATTATTATTTCTATAACAATACTTCATAACTTCGTTTGGCCAAATATAAAATTTAAATTTATTTAATTTTGCTAATACATTTATTTTTTTATTCATTTCTGTTTTTAAGTAATTTTTGGAATTTAAATATTTCTTAAAATATAATTATTAAATAAAAAATTTTCAATAATCTTATATAATATTTTTGTTATTTTGGATTAATATATTAAAAATTTATATCTAATTTCTTTCCATTATTTATAAACATAAACTAATGTTTAATTTATTTCTTCAAATAAATTTTGATATTTCGAAGGTCATTAATTATAATTTTAAACAAATTTGGATTTGTGATAGTATTTAGGTAGTTTTATTCATAAACTTACTTTATTTTTAGGTATGACTTCTTTTTTTTAACTGAAACGATTAAAAATAGAATAATGTCCAAATTCTTATTTTACTTTTTCTTTCTCTAAAATAGGAATCATTAAATAATTCTTTCAATTTTTTATTAGCTAACATCTTAACATATTTTATTTTATAAAAAAAGTTAAAATTAACGAATAATTTGAATTAATTTTTATTTGAATTATGTTTGATGATTATATGTAAATTTAAAATAAAATTCATATCTTCTAAAATAAAAATTGAGAATTATATTGATAATTTGTAATCAGGATTAAATCTTTCTTAATTAAGATGATTATTTATATATCTTGTTATCTCTTTCTTTTATATTCTGTTTGATATAGATATTTAAATGATCTTTTATTTGATTTTTCAGCAATAAAATTATGTAATCAGTATAATAGCCTCAAAAATCTGTTTCATAATCATTGAAGATTCGTAAAAGGCCTACCTTTGAACAAATTCATCATCCTTAAGAAGAACATCATCATAAATTATTATAGAATTAGGATGATTCACACAGAATTCCAAATCATACACATATAGATGGAGAAAATCATACACATATAGATGGAGAAGGGCATGTAAACTTAAATTCTTTAATATTAGTTACTAATATAGATAGAGAAACTAAGTCATACACATACAGAAGAAAATAATAAAGAAAAATAAACACAAACTTCACTATTATAATATTTTAAGCATCGTCCTGATCCTATTTTAAATTGGGAGTAACATTAAGAGAAATATTTCTATTCTGATTTCTTGGAATTTATAGAAACTCTTTATCAATAAGTTAAACGAAGTTAAAGCATTAATAGATATTATGTAAAAATAGGACTTCAAATTTTCATTTATCTTTTAAATTTCCTTGAACTTATTTTTACATTAAGCTATGCATCATATAATTAAATTTCAAATGAATATAAAATATTCACAAATTGTCACATAATATCTATATTCTTATGTGTTTCAATTCATTGTATAACATGGATGTATACATATAAATTTAGATAAGTCTAAAAAAAGTTTATAGTCCTTGAATTATTAAATTATATTTATTACATGTTACTGGGGGCATTAAGTTATTTTAAAATAGCTCCATTTATTTATTATTTCATTCGAGATTAATCTATTAGATAGTTTTCTTTTAGTGAAATTAATAAATACTTGATATTAGATGGAGAAGATAAATTTAGAAATCCATTAAGACTATTTAAATTAAGAACAAAACCAGTCAATATATTTAGAGATTTAATATTCCATAGAATAGCTCTTGTATCAATGATGATTACAATGTTCTTCTAAACAATACCTTAACTCTTTATTTAAGGTTTTTATAATTCAAAAAAAGAAACATGGAATGATGGATTTAATGTTATAAGTTATATGTTATTAATTAGTAGTTTAATATATTACCTTTTGGAATTACAATTTATCATATTAACAACTACTTATAGATAAATTTAAACTGAATTACAATTTAAATTAAAAAAAATTAAATTAAAGTTTATTGAAGAAACTAAACAATTATTAAAAGCAGATTTAAAATATATGGCATTTATTTAATCATTTTATTTTCATATTGATCCAAGTAAATTTAGTTCTTACCAAAAAAAAAGATGTATGGTATAAATTATAACATTCTTAACAAGATAAAAGAAATTTAAAAGTATTTAATTCCTATTTCTTGATTAATATGAGTAAGTTACTCTTTAATATTTGGCAAATTGTGTAAAAATTATTTAAGTAGAAAAAATAAGTTTCTTATATAAAGATTAAACTAAATTACACATTTTGGAAAGTATTTTTAATAAGGAAGAATTTCCATATTTAAATTTTTAACTTTAAAACAGTTAAAATATTGATGAAATGTGGAATTCTGATATTATTGATTTAAATTCAGAAGAGGAAAAGGTTTAATAAATACAATTTATTGAAAATCCAAAAATAAATAAAGAAGTTAATACTGGATGGTAAGCATTATATTAGAATTAACAATTATAATAAATTAAAAACAGAAATTATATAACAATATCATCAGATTTTAAGAAATTTATTCAACAAAATTAAAAATACTCAGAAACGTCTAATGATATAATAAAATAAGCTAAAGAAAAGATTGATAGTATAACAAAAAAAGATCTTTTTGCAGAATAGTTTAAATAAATATCTTTTTTTATTAATTTATACGATTGTTATCAAAAAATGAAAAGTATTTAAGAAATTCAAGGATTTTTATATTCATTTGGTTCCTTATTAAATGGAGGTTTATAAATTATTTCTCTCATTTATTTGACTGAAGGATCCAATATGTTTATAACTGCTTTAATTGTTATAAATGTCATATATCCAATTTTATAGATGTTATCATTTGCTTTTTTTTAATTTAGATTATTTTAAGATTTTTCAATTAAAAAGTAAATTTTAAATGTAATTTTATTTGTTATTATTAATCTTTTAAAGATTTTAGATTTAGTAATTTTTGTTTTGTATTTATTAAAAAAGTAATTTACTGATAAAGTTAAAAGAGATTTTAGTGCCAAAGGATATTAAAAATTTAAAAGTTATGCAGCTAAATTTGAAGGAAGTATTGCCATTTCAGTCTTTTAATGGGATGCTGTTAAAGTTAATGAAAGCATTTTTTCAATTAAAAAATAACCATTTTATTAAGCAGTTATTTGGAGAGCTGGTGTTGAAGAAGCTTTAATTAAAATTGCTTTATTTTATATATATTATTTATCAACTATGGAAGGTGCACTAAATCCAACTTTTTTGATGTCATCAGGATAACAAATTAAAGAAGGAATAAAATAAATTAGCGAATTCTTAGAATGTTTCATCAAAGATTTTCTTATTCCAGCTTTTATTTTAAGTACAACTTCTGTAGAATAATTCTTTTAATCTATGTTATTTTTAAGTTCAATATCAAATTAAATTTTATTAGAATATCCTAAGTCCTTTTAAATTATGTCCAAAGTAAATGAACGTTATTTAAAAGAAAAATGTACCTTTAAAATAAATGCTGAAAATCTGGATTTTTCTAATTATGGAGGAAAAAAAAAAGAAAAAATTTTAGCTTAATTTAGATATGTGCTTGCATCTATATAAAACATCTTAGAAATAGATTAAGCTTAAAAATTATTTTGTATGGGATCAGAATTAAATGATTTTGTAAAATGTTTGAATGTTAGTTCAATTTATTAACTAAAACTTAATTTTTCGTTAGATGAAGTTAATCCTGAAAATCTACCTTATGTTAATCATATTATTTAGTATTGTCCAAATAATTTGTAATTTCTACAAATATCAATTGAATCTACAGAATAAATTAATATGTTAATTGATGTAAAAAGAAAGGATACTTTAAAGGCTTTTTGTTATTCTTATTTTTAGATAATTACCTTATATAAAGATAACACTTAAGGCGCTTAAAAAACATATTTAAATATAGATTAATAATTCTTATAATTAGATAGATATGATTTTGAATAATTTTATCTTGAAATAGCAGGAAATCTAATTTTAGATAATTGCTCAAAATTTCTTGAAAATTTTATCAAATTGAAGATTTAAAAATTATCTCTTAAGAACAATTCTGCTCTTCAAATATTTAAATTCTAAAAGAATATAAAAAGTGAATTGGAAATTTTGGATATTACATTTGAAAATATTACATTAGATTTTTAATAATTCTTTATTAATAAGCTCAAAACATTTAGATTAATTTTGAATAAATGTGAATTTAGTAAACAGGATCTTAAAAAAATATTATCCAATTTAAAGGACACGAAATTGTAAATGGTTTATATAGATATAAAAAATTGTAACTAAAATTTTACAAAAGATGAATAAATACAGTTATTAAGTTCCTTAGAACAGAACAAAATTGATGCCACCATTAAAATTTGAAAAATTAGTCATAAAATACAAATACAATTCAAATTACAATTACAATTATTCTTCTTCTAATATTTATTTAGGCTACTTCCTTCCTTCTGTTAAATTATAGATATTTATTATTGATTAGTAACCTCCATTCTATCTATTTAAATAATTCTTAAGTTTCATATAAGACTAGTACTAAATATGATTAGAATATTTAAAAAGTTATCTTAATTATAAAGATTTTTTCTAGATGATGTAGCTAATTAATTTTCAAATCATAATTATATTAAATAATTTATGTATATTTGTAATTCATATTTAATAAACATTTATCTTTTAAAGAGTATTTTAAAGAATTTGGAATTCTGAATTGATAAAACTAATTTTATTTAATTATGAATAAAAAGTGGAGGGGTCCTATATTTATATTAATTGGATTGAAAATGGGTTGATTTATGCAAAGGATTCGATTAATATTAATAAATCATTTAAAATGGTGAATTTAAAGTGTAATAGAGAATTACCAATTGGGATGTAATAGATTTATAGGGTAACCAATAAATGTATATAAACATATTTAATATTAATCTCAGCAAAAAATTAAAGTAATAGTGAAAAGAGCAGGATAATATAATATATAAACCTAAACAAATGTATAAATATTAATATATGAATTTTCCATTTAACAAATGAATTGAGTATATCAAAAAAGAAAAACTTATTAATTACTAACATCATTGGCTGCATGACAAAATTTACAATAAAATAATTTTTTTTATCAAATAATTTATAAAATCTCATATTAAAATAATTATATTAAAATTGAAGCTAAAAGATACGACAGTATTAGATAGTATTGTAGGAAAATAAAATCCAATATTCGAGAATATATATTAAATATATCATCTGGTGTAGAGGTAACATTTCTCCCATTTTAGGAGAGGATCCGAGTTCAAGTCTTCGGGGTGGTATTTTTTATTTTTTATATTAAATTAATTATTTTATAATTTAAAAAAATTATTTACAGTCTCTTTTTGATTCTGATTTAAATTGACTTAAAAGGAATAAAATGTTGATTGCATATAAAAAAAATAATTGATATACATTTTAATGAAACTATAATTAATAAATCCTGAATATAATTCTAATATTATGCTTGGTTGACAAGTTATTATTCATGCGGAAATTATAAGAAGATTATAACCTTTTGATATTAATATCATTAATCTTGATTTAATAATTTAAAATTTTAATAATTTAATGTAATCAATCAATTAGACCAAAAATTGTTTGTCTGATTCCAAAATCTTAAAATGTAAATTTTCTAGTTGGCTATAGAATTACATTATCTTATGTTATAAAATATATTTGTTATATCTAAAGCCGAATTAAAAAATCTTATGCCAATTCTCCAACTAGTATGTCAGAGGAAACTTAAACATGATAAACTTTATTTAAAGCTTGAATGATTACTATAAGTTCAATATTGGATTCAGATTATTATGTATTAGTGTAAGTTGATTAATCATGTAAAGTTCTTGTTTAATATAACTAATCCTATTAGTTTTATTAATTAATTCTATCAATGAAAGCATTTAGAGGTTAGACTTATTCTTCAATTTCTTGTGGTATTTAATTTTATTCATTATGTTAATTTAATATTTAGGTTTCTTTTTCAAAATTTAACATATGTAAAAAAAATTCTCGTAATCTTAGGTTGAGTTGTAAGACAATTTATGATGATTTCTCACTTTTCATCAAAGCTGATTAAAATTAAGATTGTGTTTCCACTAATGATTTGTAATACTCTATTTGATTTAGATTCATATAACTTGTTTGAGATTCAAAAAAAAATTATAATCTCTTATCAATTGTTGCTAAAGTTTTTTAATGTTAATTAATTTTATCTAAAGTATTTTCAAATATTTCATTTAATGCATTTTTTATTTTCAATACAATATTGAATAAATTAAAATTAGAACTTACAAGACTTCTTTATAATTCTTGAAATTAAATTAATTGTTTTTCAAATTCAACTAAATTGATTACATTATTCTTTTCAATATTTAAATCTTCTTTTAAACAAATGCTACAAAGTTTCTTATTATAATATGGATCATTAGCAAAATAAATAAACTTCATTATTTCACAAGGATGCTTTGGACATGGAAATTATTCTGAGGCTTTCATTTTATTTTAATTATTAAAAAAATAAATTCTTATTAATATATTTAAAGAATTTGATTATTGTAATTTTTCATTAGTAAATGTTTCGATAAACATGTTATTACTATTATAAGTTTATTCGCAAGTCTTCAATTTAATTAAAAAAGAACAGATTTTAAAATCGTAGGCAATTTAAAATCATAGATATTCTGTTGTATGATTATGTATTTTAGAGAAGAATAATCTATAAAAGGTTTATTTTAATAAAAAAAAATAATTTATTATTTTATAGCGCATTAATGATTGGATGAACTTAAAATCTTGATATTTCAGTTTATAAAAATATTTATTATTATTAAATTTAGCAAGTCTTTCAACTTACTCGAAAGTAATAGTGAGACTTATATTATTCAAAGTACAACTAGAATGATAAGTTTAGCAACTTTTATAAATTTTTGTTTCTGATAAAATTAAAACAAGTTATTTGTTTAATATTTTTCCTTTTTAATGCAAAATCAATTAGTACTATCTTTATCATAAATCATGAAAAATTGTTGATTGAGCATTTATGGTCTACAACAAGTATATAAATTTTAAAACTAGATATCGCATACTACTAATTAAGATTTAAACATTAATTCTTTAATCAAGTTTTAATCTATAAATTTTTTTTATTAGTAATTATCTTAGAACAAACTAAATAATATTTTTATCTATTTTTATATTCAAAATATATATTAACTTTCTAAAATTATAATTTATATCAAAATCTACAACATATATAAAATTGAAAAAATCGTTAATTGTGAACAATCTCAAATTACAGAGAGATTGTACAGAAATTCTTATTAAATAAAACCTTAGATTAGTGCTTAAAGATTAAATATAATCAATTATTGTAACTCAAGTTAGATATTAAAGGATATTCTAGAGGCTTCATAATAATAAAGTTTATAAATTTTTTAAACTCTTAATAAAATTAGTTTTTAATTTTTATTATTATCTTTCATACAATCCACACACATAAATCTTTCTTCTATTTCCTTATTTGATTCTACTTCAAACATGATAATTTCTTTGTCATGTATCTTACATGTTTTGCTCAAACTTGGAGTTTTCTAATTCAATAATTTATTTAATACCTTATCATTGTTAGCTTGATTGATTATATTATAATAGTGTCTTCATTTGCTTCATTAATGAGGCATTTTGTATTTTTTATTATTTAATTCATTTATAAATACTAAGGGGTGCTAAAAAGTACTTCAAACTGTTTTTATATTTCATCAATAACTTTATTATCATCTTATAATTTCTTTTAATCATCAACCATCTCCTCTGAATAAATNTATTTCAGTTTATAAAAATATTTATTATTATTAAATTTAGCAAGTCTTTCAACTTACTCGAAAGTAATAGTGAGACTTATATTATTCAAAGTACAACTAGAATGATAAGTTTAGCAACTTTTATAAATTTTTGTTTCTGATAAAATTAAAACAAGTTATTTGTTTAATATTTTTCCTTTTTAATGCAAAATCAATTAGTACTATCTTTATCATAAATCATGAAAAATTGTTGATTGAGCATTTATGGTCTACAACAAGTATATAAATTTTAAAACTAGATATCGCATACTACTAATTAAGATTTAAACATTAATTCTTTAATCAAGTTTTAATCTATAAATTTTTTTTATTAGTAATTATCTTAGAACAAACTAAATAATATTTTTATCTATTTTTATATTCAAAATATATATTAACTTTCTAAAATTATAATTTATATCAAAATCTACAACATATATAAAATTGAAAAAATCGTTAATTGTGAACAATCTCAAATTACAGAGAGATTGTACAGAAATTCTTATTAAATAAAACCTTAGATTAGTGCTTAAAGATTAAATATAATCAATTATTGTAACTCAAGTTAGATATTAAAGGATATTCTAGAGGCTTCATAATAATAAAGTTTATAAATTTTTTAAACTCTTAATAAAATTAGTTTTTAATTTTTATTATTATCTTTCATACAATCCACACACATAAATCTTTCTTCTATTTCCTTATTTGATTCTACTTCAAACATGATAATTTCTTTGTCATGTATCTTACATGTTTTGCTCAAACTTGGAGTTTTCTAATTCAATAATTTATTTAATACCTTATCATTGTTAGCTTGATTGATTATATTATAATAGTGTCTTCATTTGCTTCATTAATGAGGCATTTTGTATTTTTTATTATTTAATTCATTTATAAATACTAAGGGGTGCTAAAAAGTACTTCAAACTGTTTTTATATTTCATCAATAACTTTATTATCATCTTATAATTTCTTTTAATCATCAACCATCTCCTCTGAATAAATTTTAGATAATTCTGTTATATCTTCTAAGTAATTATTTTTTCCTTCAAACTATAACGATTCGATATCCTTTTGAATATAAAATAATCATTATTGGACAAAGCTTGTCATTTTATCAAATGTCAAATCCAAAGTTATTTTAAATTCTTTTATTTGTGATAATACATTCTTAAATGTCTCCCGTTTCGCCTCATTCTCTTTTGTTTACTTTTCCATTTTTTAGGACTTCATTTGACTTATAAGTTTCTTCGTGTCCTCAATTAAAGTTAATTTTTAATTAGAGTGTTGTTTCAACAAACATTTGATGCATAAGAAATTGACATCTTTTTTTCCTTTTGTGTTCAAATCTGCTACAATACAGGTCTCATATTTATGTGTTTTGCAAGATATTTTGTCTTAATCAGATAATAAGATACTCATTTTTTAAATAATGCTAATGAAATTTATATAATTTTTGTGTTGATATCCCTAGATTTCTATTAAAAGTTTATTATGAAAATAATTAATAAAGAAGATTTCTAATCTAGTTTCAGAAACTAATGTGCGAATAATTAGGTATTATATTGATTCTAGATTTGAAAGCTTCTAGTATAAGCAGAAAAAGCATTAAGTGGATAGTATTTATTCTTAAATAAATTTTAAGGAGGTTCTTTTTCAGAGAAATTAGCAATTACTTTATTCTTTGTAGGTTTATAATTCATAAAGTTTACGCTTGTAGTTTATAATACTAATTATTTGAATCCTATTTCTCATATCTTCCTTCAGAAATAATAAAATTCAGGACTTGAACTAATTGGACAATTTTTGTGATGACTGATCTAATTATGATCATATCAAAAATAATATTAAACCAGAATTTAAGAATATTTCATAATTTAAGTTTATTATGCTGGTATTATGCAGAAAAAATCCACATAGTCTAATATTAAGAATAGTTTTAAATATAAGAATAGAATTTGAGCTTTTAAATGACTGAAAAATGTATTTAAAAGTGATTGCTTTATTGAAAGTTTTAGGATTTATCAAACATGGAAAAGAAATTTTAATAAAAATTGTCAATACCCAATTAAAGTTTTTAGCAGATATCAAATAAGAAAAATGATGGTTTGTCAATATTTTAAACAAAATAGGAGAATATATATCATTAGATATTTTAGGAATCTTATGAATTATGCAATAGTTTCCCTAAGTTCAGAATATATTAACTATTTCAGTATCAATAATGTCTCCTCTATTTGGCAAATTGATTTAGCAAATATTTTCTGTTAGTTTTCTTTTGGGTTAGTAATAATGGAGTTTTTGTTGATAGATTTTTAAATTCTTTATTTTTATAATATTCTCATTAACTAAAGTCTGATTAAAGTTTGATTGTAGTGATTTTATCTATTCTTAGTTTGTTTATAAACAAATAGGTTTTTTGGCTTAGACTTTTTTTTAATTCTTCAAAGCAAGAACTAATTCTATCATATAAACTATGTAATATTCAATGTTTTACAAAATTCATTTGCTACTTGAATTTAATAATTAATTAAATTTTGAGATACTGGGTTTAAAGTTGCGATCTCTTAAATTTTGAATTCTTTATGAGTTTAATATTTTTTGTTTGACTTTTGATTAGAAATTCAGAAATATTCTTTGAAATCCATGCCTGAGTTGGTATTTTTATTTTTTCTTTTTTCCATCAATTTAAAAAAAAAAAAATTTGAGAAATAATAGAAACTTTCATTCAGAAAAATACCTGTATTGAAAAGGAATCATATTCAAGCGAAATTTATTAAATGGCCATCAATTTATTGCTCTGTAATAATATTTTAGGATTATTAGAGCGTATCTTTTTTGATGATCCTTAACATAAATATTTGTAAAAATTAATTGATTAAAATCTTATAAAGGTGATCCTGATTTTAACTGTTGGAAATGAGGATTCATTATTCATTACGAAAGTGATCGTAAGGTAATAATGACAAGCAAAGTTTGGTTAATACTTTGATGGAATAGATTGTAGCATTTATTTATTTATTAATTATTAATTTAATATATAATTTACATAACTTATAATAATGTATATTTGATTTAAATAAATAATCGAGGAATTATCTTATTTAAAATTATTTTCAAATTTTAGAATACTTAATGAACTAAGTATTATAAATTAATTATAATAGTTAATTCGTTATTAATTGTGGTAGTTTGATATCACATTTGAGAAATTTATGAGCATAATTATTCCCATCAATTTAATCTATAATTCCTCAACTTCTAAATAAGTATAGATAATATTTTTATAGTCAATATATTTTATTTTTTAATTATTATATATTTAACTAATTTATCACAAGACATTTTGGATATAGAATCCGAAAATATTTGAAATATAAATTATACTCTGATTATTTTACATATTAATTCTTCCAGTTTTCATGAAATTTTCAATAAACCTATTTAATTAATATTTGAATATATTTATTAAAACAATAGCAGAACAAGATTAAAATAGGATTGGATTTCATTATTCATAAATATAAAGAAAATTTACTGCTATAACAAAAATATATATACAGTAATTTTGCCCTCTACAAAATTCCCCCGAGTAGGATATTATGATGTTAAACAATATGAGCATTTATTTATAAATTATCTAGTATTTATAAATTTTTCATTATTTAATTATTTTTTATAATAAATTGAGGCCTCGTTGTAGAAATACAACATGGGATAAACCGAATTATGAATTTTATGATGAAGAATCATAAAATTATAGAATTTTAGAATGTTGGATAAATTAAATTGAAATATTTGTAGAAATCATGAAAATAAATCTTTTTTAATTATAATTTATATAGAAAAGTGGGGTAAAGGATTTTATCCAATGTAAAAGATAATGGCTGTATAAAATAATATAATTTTTTATCATTTATTTATAATTAATTCCAATATTCAATGAAAGATGTCGTTATGTAATCTTATAATTAGTGCCCATTTACTATTCTTTTTACTATCACTGAAGTATCTTGATTTTGATCCAAACAAAAAAGGAATTTGCTCTGAAATTATTGTCATAGGTATAGGAATAGGAATGGCTAGCAATTAAGTATTCATATTAAGTTAATTTATTAGTGATCATATTTCCTATCTTATTAATTAACCAACCTAATAATAATACCAAATTTTAAAATATTCTGATTGTTATTTAACTTACTTTTTTATTATTAGATTAGTTTATTTATAAACATTCAAATCTTTTTAAAGTTGCTTCAATTCTAATAGGTGAACTATTTTTTATGCAGCAATTGCTATTTTATTGTATTTCCCCAAAATATTAATTTACTGATGTGAATATTCATTTAAAGGCTTTTTGATGAAAACCTATTAGTTAGAGAAACTTTAAATTTTAAAGATGATGTTTGCAAAATAGACTTCTAATTAAATAATAGCTAATTCAATATTAAAAAATCNCTCTGATTATTTTACATATTAATTCTTCCAGTTTTCATGAAATTTTCAATAAACCTATTTAATTAATATTTGAATATATTTATTAAAACAATAGCAGAACAAGATTAAAATAGGATTGGATTTCATTATTCATAAATATAAAGAAAATTTACTGCTATAACAAAAATATATATACAGTAATTTTGCCCTCTACAAAATTCCCCCGAGTAGGATATTATGATGTTAAACAATATGAGCATTTATTTATAAATTATCTAGTATTTATAAATTTTTCATTATTTAATTATTTTTTATAATAAATTGAGGCCTCGTTGTAGAAATACAACATGGGATAAACCGAATTATGAATTTTATGATGAAGAATCATAAAATTATAGAATTTTAGAATGTTGGATAAATTAAATTGAAATATTTGTAGAAATCATGAAAATAAATCTTTTTTAATTATAATTTATATAGAAAAGTGGGGTAAAGGATTTTATCCAATGTAAAAGATAATGGCTGTATAAAATAATATAATTTTTTATCATTTATTTATAATTAATTCCAATATTCAATGAAAGATGTCGTTATGTAATCTTATAATTAGTGCCCATTTACTATTCTTTTTACTATCACTGAAGTATCTTGATTTTGATCCAAACAAAAAAGGAATTTGCTCTGAAATTATTGTCATAGGTATAGGAATAGGAATGGCTAGCAATTAAGTATTCATATTAAGTTAATTTATTAGTGATCATATTTCCTATCTTATTAATTAACCAACCTAATAATAATACCAAATTTTAAAATATTCTGATTGTTATTTAACTTACTTTTTTATTATTAGATTAGTTTATTTATAAACATTCAAATCTTTTTAAAGTTGCTTCAATTCTAATAGGTGAACTATTTTTTATGCAGCAATTGCTATTTTATTGTATTTCCCCAAAATATTAATTTACTGATGTGAATATTCATTTAAAGGCTTTTTGATGAAAACCTATTAGTTAGAGAAACTTTAAATTTTAAAGATGATGTTTGCAAAATAGACTTCTAATTAAATAATAGCTAATTCAATATTAAAAAATCAAGTAAATTACAAAGGAAGAGGACAAATAATGATAAAACATAAAAGTATGCATTTCTTAATTAGCCAAGTATCTAATTTTCAAGGGAAACAAGTTATATATTTATAAAGAATATAAGAAAGAAGAAAAATATCATAAAGGTGTTTGTACTAAGCATTGTAACTAATATGTAAAAGTTAAAGTTATTTACCAATAAAGTTGAGTAAAAAGACATTATTAGAAATTAAATTTAATCTCGAAAACTATACAATAAAGCTTTATATTATTCTCTATTTTTCATATTACTATTTTTAATTAATTGAATCTATAATTCATAAACATTTGAAATAAGCAAAGTAGATTATCTTTCGAGTTATTAATTTTACTTTAATTTTTTATATTTTTATAAGTGCCTTAATTAATATTACGAATCCCCTGTTCTAAATAAAGTATGCTGAAAATTAGAGTTTTAGATTATTTTAAATATATAATCTATTATTAAATTAAACAATTTTCTATTAATAAAAAAATTAACATTGAGGCTACATAAAATATCCAGAACCTGAAAAAATTAAAATTTAATATTAAAGGGTACTGAGTAAAAAATAATTAATTTAAATTTAGATTCATATAAAGAGGATACTTTTTTTAATTTATAAGTTATAAGTTTTAGGTAATATGATGATAAAGCATTGGGCCTTATTAATAATTAATAGATCCTATTCTTAGATTTTATGAAATAGACAATCATTTTACCAAAACTTTGCAAACCTAAATTATATATCTATATATTACATAATGACATAATGTCATCAAATTTTAATTCATTAAGATTAAATCTTAAAATAGGAAAACATAAAAGTGTGAAGATGTTCAACATGATATTATATTCAGATTAAGATCAGCATAAAATAATAAAATAGATAATGGTTAATCGCCTATAGATATAGAAGTTTCATAGGGGAAAGATTTTTTTACTAGATTAATATTTCCTTGTAATATTACTGGCATAATTAAAATAACAACTTCAAGTAAAATAATTTTGTTTGCTAAACCTTTTAATTCTGAAATCATAGAGTTAACTTAAACTTCAAGTACAACAAAAGATTTTATCATCAATTCAATTATAAAAACTAAATAATATGGCCAAGTTCTAACTTGTCCTACTGGTTGATCAAACATTGACAATCAAATCTTGTTCCTTACATATACTGTTGGCCAAGCGTATCTGTAAAGTCAATAATCCATATTTTTTAATTTTCATTATTAAATAAAAACCATATAAAACTATGTCTCCTTGTTATCATCAGAGATTGGCAGGAGTTCTTGAATTTTATCTTTAAATAAATAATCTCAGTTTAGGCTTATTTTAACATGTTAATGCATCTTCCAATATATTAGTCATATTAACCTTATTGATCCAAAGTAAAATCCTTATTATTTTATGACTGTAATTACTTTTTTTTATTTTTGATATTATTTCTTACCTATTGGCTGAATAAAGAATTTTGATTCGATTTATTTTTTTATTTTTAGATTCAATAGTATAATAAAAACTTAACATTTTCAAATACTTATAAACATACTAATTGTTAAGTAACTCAAGGAGGTAAACTTGTTGCTGAAGTTGCAAATTCTCATTATTGTTTTTGTGTTTGTGAATAACCAATTCCTAAAGCAGGCAAAATACAATTTACATTCTAAATACTTACCGGATCAGATTTTTTTGTTGGAATAGGATTTAAAGATATAATGTAATAAAAGAATTATTATGATTGTAATAATTCTGGGTATGGGTATATAAATAAATCATAATAGAACGTATTTAATCAAAGAGAATGGTCCTACTTAGTCTCATGATAACAAAGATATACATGATAAATAATTATCATTAGATAAATATATTAAATGGAGTAAATAGAATAATCCACAAAAAACATTTGCTGTAAATATAAAAATGATTATTAGAAACAGTGGATAGATACATCATAACAATTATATCCATGTGTTGGTCTTGGTAGAAAAGCTTAAATAAAAATATTAAATTGAAAAAGAATAATATTAAATAATTTTATAAATAATCTAACATTTTTTTCATTTATTTAATATAGAAAAACAAAAAGAACTTCTTTAAAAGGGCTATAAAAATTAATTAATCTTGAATAATGCACAAACTCGATTTTATTTTTATTAGTAGTCTTATTGCTCATTTCGAATTTTACTTTAAAGGGGTTTCATAATTTTTAAGCACTAAAATAAAAAGATATTATTCTTTAATTAATATTTATTTAATTGGTGCTTAAATACTATTTTACGAGATGATAATAATAACTTTGCTGATATAAAGAATAGTTGGAAAATCTAATATTCGAAACATTATAGTTTTAGAGGAATAATTATCAATTTATTGAAAACTTCAATCTAATTAACAATAATTAAAATGGATATTCGATATAAATTTTTAATTTTGATGTTATTCTTTGGTTGTTAAATAGTTTTGTTTCAGGGTTTGGGGTTGGCCAGGAACAAAATTCTCCATTTTGTAGTGGGGTCGGGCTCGGGTTGACTTTGGGGGATAAGCGAAAGGTTTTTGGGCTAAAAAGGATACCCCCCCCGGTTTGGGTTTGGGTTTGGGTTTGGGTTTGGGTTTGGGGTTGGG